TATTTAAGTCTTGTAAAATTGAATTTTTTGTAGACATCATATAACTATGTCTAGATTTAGTATCCAATCAGATAAGCTCTGTCTTTAACAGATATGTTATGTTTATGCCATTACTTTTAAAGTGATTATCAGTATAACTGGATTAAAATCTATCATTTTACCAGCTTTTTTCTACCTGTTGTATTTGTTCTTTGTCAACCTTTTGTTCCACCTACCTTCTCTGGTTTTAATTGAAGTATCTTTATGATTCTATTTTATCTCCTTCATAGAGTTGTTATTTATACATCTTTTAAAAATATTTTCAGTAGTTGACCTAATGTTTACATTTTTAAAATAACCTCCTTTCACATCTAAAGAATATTATTAACACTTGACACAAAGTTAAAGAACCTTGCATCAGTATATTTCCATATCCTTCTCCCGTCCCTTTGTCATTGTTGTGATATAGGTCATTCTATACTATGCTTTGTACTATAAATGCCCATACCTTGTTAATGTCACTGCTTTAAACAGCTAATTTTCTTCTAGTAGAATTAGAAATAAGACAATTACAGTTTACCCTAATTTCTTTAATTTTTATAAGAACTTTATGTTAAAGGCAGAGTTAGAAAGAGGAAGAGACAGGGAGAGAGATCTTCCATCTGATGGTTCACTCCCCAAGTAGCCACAATGGCCAGGGTTGAGCCAAGCCGAAGCCAGAAGCTTCATCTGGGTCTCCCCTGTGGTGGCAGGAGCCCAATATTTGAGCCTCCACCACTGCTTTTCTCAGACCATTAGCAGGAAGCTGGATCAGAAGTGGGGCAGCTAGGACATGAACTGGTAGCATCCTATATGGGATGCCAGCTGTGGAGGAGGGAGCTTAACCTGCTACGCCACAACACTGGCCCCAAACAACTTTTTAAAATTTATTTCTGAGACGCAGACAAGCATAGAGGGAAACAGAGATAGACAAGAGAGATTTCCATCCACTGTTCTCTCCTTGAAATATCTACAGTAGCTGGGGATGGTCCAGGCTGAAGGCAGGAGCCCAGAACTCAATCTAGGTCCCAAACATAGCTGATAGAGACCTAACTACTTGAGCCACTAAACTGCCTCCCAGGCTGAGCATTAGCAAGAAGCTGAATAGGAAGCAGAACCAGAATTCGAATATGCATTCTGATATGGGATACAGACATTGCTCCATTGCTCCAATCTTCTGCCTCCATTTCTCTAATTTCTAATGCTCTTCATTCATTGCATAGATCTGTGTTTTTAAATTATATCGGAGCAGCTGAGACATGAACCCATATTCTGTTCCATTGGTCTGTCGATCTGTTTTGTATCAATAGCAGGCTGTTTTGATTATAACTATCCTGTAGTATGTATTCAAATCTGGCATTGTGATGTCTCTGCCTTTGTTTTTGTTTTTATAAGATTGCTGTGGCTATTTGGGGTCTCCTGTGTTTCCATATCAATTTCAGCATCATTTTGTGTTACATGTGCTCCTACAGTTCTCAATTGTGCTGATTTTTACCATCTTTTCTCTTTCCCTTCAATAGTTATGCATCCCTTTATCCTATCTCAAGTTGCCTGATTCCTCAGTTGTTTCATCTAGCAATTGAAGACCCTCCTCATTTCCTTTACTGTGTGCATTTGATTTCAAGCATTTTTATTTTGAATCTGTCTTAAAGTTTTATATCTCTGCCAAAATTACTTATCTGATCTTGAATGATATCTACCTTTTCCATTAGAGCATCTAACATTATTATCATAAGTTGTTTAAAATTCCCTGATAGTTGCAACATCTTTGTCATTTCTGAGTCTTGTGAGGATTGTTTTAGTTTTTCATAGTATTTACTTTTTGTCTTTCTTCTCTGTTGTTGAAAGCCAACCATGTTCAGAACAATCGAAATTGAGGTAAATGGGCCTTTAGTGTAGATATTTATGTTAATCTAGCTGGGAATTAGACTATGTTTGAAGTTTGTTGTTACCATGGTTACCACTGTTGAGGTTTGTTGTTGCTATGGGCACCAGAGATTTAGATTTCCTCTCCTGACTTTGTTCTTGTCTAGCCTTTTGGTATTGGACCTTTCCTTCGTGCTAGTCCCCTGAGAGGCTCTGTCTCCTACAGTTCTCCCAGCTATAATCTACTGCTGTTATTATTGGAGGATTGTGCAAGTGTGGTGGTAGGTTTGGATGAGGGATAAGTATTCTCTGTTTTGAGTAAGTTTCCACCTTTGGAGTGCATAGCATTGCACACTCACAAAAAATGTGTGTCTCTGCTTTAGGGGTAGAGCATTTTCCCTGCCCTGCATTCCCTTCTTTCAGCTGTGGCAGGTACCCACCCTTATTTCAGTTTGTGACCTTAAAGCCTTTTTCTCTGGAGAATAAACCCTTCTACCTTCACTTATGATAGGGAGTCTTACTAGTTCAGACGCCCACATCACATACCACAGTGCCAGATTTTGAGTCCCAGATCTGCTCCTAATTGCAGCTTCCTGTTAATGAGCATCCTGGGAGGCGGTAAGAGATGGCTCTTGTTGGGTCTCTATCACCATATGGGAGAATCAGATTGAGTTCCTGTCTCCCAGATTTGACCTGGCCCAGCCCTGGTTGTTAAGGGCATTTGAAGAGTGAACCAGCAGATGGGAGTGTTCTGCTTCCCAACTAACTAACTAAATAAATAATTTTTTTTAAAAAAAGTTGTTTGAACATGTGTGTAAAGTTCAGGGAACTTAACATCTGCAGCACTCACAAGGATCTGTTTTACTAAATGAGTTTCCTGTTTTCATTTGCTCATATATTTACAAATTTTATGTCTTCCGAGGTATCTAGGTATATGTTTTTCCTGTTTAAAAGGAACGAGGACAAAGTAACTGAGTTTACATAAATTGATTATGCATTGTGACAAGATAAAAACTGCTAAATGCTGCTGTCGATTACTTAAGGATTATTTGATAGTAAAACTGCTACCTTTTTTTCTACTCTCTTGCGGTTTTATCTCCAAGTGCTTCACTCTGCATTTCTATGTAAGCAGACAAAAATACAGCTCAGTTTAAACTGCCTTAACCAATCAGAAACCACCAACTAACCTCTATCTATAGACTTTCCAGTGGAATAATCCAAAGATCCTAAAAAGATCCTAAAAAGGCCTTACCCTCAGTGCTCTTCAGAGGAGCCATGAACTGTATGTAGTCCAGGGCCCCCTGAATCATGTATTGCTGTCTCCTCAAACTTTTTATGATTTATAAAGATCGGGGGTGTTGAATGGTCGGTCAGTTCCCTGATGCAGAGCTTGTTCAGCATTGCCCTCAGGTGGGCCTGTGGTCCCTAAGGGAGGATGATGTGAGCAGATTTTCATTTGCTGCTGCTCCTCAACTGCAGCCGGAACCATGGTGAGAACTCTGTATTCTCCCCGACCTTCTTGGTGAAAGCCTGGTGGGGTTCCTAGACCAAGAGCCTGCGAAAGGGTGGGAACCCATGCCTGTGATCCCCAGGAGATCTTCTCTTCTCACATTGGTCCACTCAGTCTCCAGCAGCTCACCAAAATTTCAGTTGTCTGACTGGTTCACATGGTGTCAGTAGCTTTTGTTAAGTAAGCAAATGCTTGGATCTCCCAGAAGGTGTCCATATCCCCAAATTTGAGGATAACTTCAGGTCTCTGATCAGTTCACAGGAACTCATTAATTTTCGGTCTGTCCAGCTTTTTTTCTTGTTGGAAATAAATCTTAGATGAGAAATACATTATTGGGAAAGAGATTATTTTGCTTCTCTGACCATACCAATTGCAAGAACTTTAGTCCACAGCAATAGATGCAGAGATTTTGAAATTATGAGAAATAAAGAAACAGAAACCCAAATTAAATGTCTTTGTATTTATAATGCATAGCTGATGACTGTGAAGGAAGTCTGTAGGCTTTGCTTTTGCTTTTCTTTCATAGCAGGCATCACTATTTCACCTTTACCATAGGCTATTTTCATTAAAAAAAAAAAAAGAAAAAAAGAAACTATGCTATCTGCAGAGTATACCATTACCTGCCTGTCACCTTTCTTAGGCTCACCTCTCGGGGTGCCTTTCCTCTTTGAGGGGCACTGGGTATGTTTTTGTCAGCTCATCACTGGAGATCGTTCATCTTTCTCCTGAGCAGAGGGAAGGCGGCTTAATGATCATCAAATACTTTTTCCTAACCTCTGAACTTACTGTTCATCACTTAAAAAAATGCTCAGTAGTAAGAACACTCATCTAGACTTTTTTTTTTTTTTTTTTTTTTTTTTTTTGACAGGCAGAGTGGACAGTGAGAGAGAGAAACAGAGAGAAAGGTCTTCCTTTGCCGTTGGTTCACCCTCCAATGGCCGCCGCGGCTGGCGCACTGCGGCCTGTGCACTCCGCTGATCCGATGGCAGGAGCCAGGTACTTATGCTGGTCTCCCATGGAGTGCAGGGCCCAAGTACTTGGGCCATCCTCCACTGCACTTCCAGGCCACAGCAGAGAGCTGGCCTGGAAGAGGGGCAACCGGGACAGAATCCGGCGCCCTGACCGGGACTAGAACCTGGTGTGCCGGCGCCGCAAGGCGGAGGATTAGCCTAGTGAGCCACAGCGGCCGGCATCTAGACTTTTAATGGAGTATTTTTTTTAATTTGAACAGGATTATTAAATATAAATATCTACCCCAGTTTCAATGAAGAAGCTGCACTGTTTGGTTTTCAATAATAATGGAAAAAATCCCAATTGCTCTCCTAACTAGATGTTTTACTTTTTAATATATCGAGAAGTAAATCATTTCTGTGAGCAATATTGATTAAACCCAAGAATATGCAGAGCCCTAATTCTTGTAAGGCTCATAAACCAACCTTTCCTGATCCTCTCAGCAGAATTTGTTTTTTAAATTCCAGAGCTCAGTTATGATTAACACACTGTTTAATGATTACATATTCAAATTAAATGGCACTTTTGTTGAAATGAAATTCATTGTTTTTTTTTTTTTTGGTTATGGCATTTTTACTTCATTCTTTTTTTCCAGAAAGAGCTAGAGAAGCAGAAGAGAATTAAGAGGAACCAACAGCTGGAAGCAATAGCCCAAGCACATTACAAAAAGGTCTTGCTAACCAAAAAAGGTCTAGAGCCTTGGAAGAGACTGAGAATGCAAAGCAAACAAAATGTCCAGGTGCAGTACCATACCATTAACTCCCTGCATACACACCTCCCACCCTACCCCATTAGAAAAGGAACTTTTTAAAAATAAAGTATGCATGCTTTGAGGGAAATCAGGTGATTTAAAAGCCAGAAAGATAAATAAATCAAGTGTTTATATTCCTTTGTTTTAGATAAGAAGTTAGGTTGGTCTTAGGTACAGAAAGATTTTTGTAATTTAACAGATTAGAAAAAACTATAGTAAATTTTTGATTAGAGATCTCCAAGGTAAGATTAGAATAGAGACATCTTTTAACTTTAGCAGAGTTTAAGAAAGAGGAAAAAAAATAGTACCATAATGGTCAGGTTTCTGCTGTGATAAAGTTTCATAACAAACAACTCCAAAAATAGCAGTGGTTTACAACTCAAGTATTTCTTTCTCATCGAGGTCTGTGGCCAAGTTGTGAATTAGGTTCAGGTTTCTCTCCATGTCTCATTCTGGTGCTAGGAGCTACTCAAGGCATGCTTTTTGCCTGACAACTGTCAGAGGCACAAAAGGCCAAACCAAACTATGTAAACTCATGAATCTTCTGCTTGCAAAATGTCCCCTAAATTCCACTGGCCAAAGCAAACCATAGGGCCAAGCTCAAGGTAATTGAAGAGAGAAGGTATTCCACTGGGAAGCACTCTGCAATCACATGGCAAAGGATGCGGGTATATAATTCTGTTAGCTAGAACAGTAATCTACCCTGCTGCACAGAGAAACAAAATCAAACTCGACTGAAATTTTGGGAATTTCCTTAACAGATGTGTCCAGTGCAAAGAACTGGGCTTTCTTCTAACTGATCAAAAAGTTCAGAGTAGATAAAATGTTGTTTTGTCTTTTGATCTCAGGCTATGATGAGTCAGGAACAGGCAGAAGTCTCAGGTGCCACAGAGACCTCTGTTGGTGGTCATTTTGTCCAATAAGCATGACTGCCAAGAAATTGACTTGGAGTGATCACATTCTCAGTGCTCAGTGGCTAGACCAGGCTTAGAAAACTGAGTAATTTTCTGGAGAGAGCTGAAGATTCTCTTCAAAGAATACAAAATTTACTTTTTAAGGCCTATAAACTCTGAATTTTATGTTTATTTTGATAGAATAACATCTGAGCCTTTTAAATTGGTAAGAAATTAAATTATTCATGTTATCTTTGTTTGTTTAATAGGCAGAGTTACAGAGGTGGGGAGGTGAGAGACAGAGAGAGGGATATCTTCTATCCACTGGTTCCCTTCCTAAATGGCCACAGTGGCCGGAGCTGGGTTGATCTGAAGCCAGGAGCTTCTTCCATGTCTCTCACATGGGTACAGGAGCCCAAGTACTTGGGCCATCTTCTGCTGCTTTCCCAGGTGCATTGGTAGGGAGCTGGATTGGAAGTGAAGCAGCCAGGACTTCAAAGGGTGCCCATATGGGATCCTGGTCCTGAAGGCAGCAGCTTTACGTGCTGCGCCACAGCTCTGGCCCCGTGTCATGTTATTTTTCTATCAATGGTTTTTGTGGTTTATTGATAATGTCTAAATGTCAATTCTAGAGACAGCTCATTCTATAAACCTAATGGAAAAGTATTGGCATTTCCTCAATTAGACAGTGGGTAAGTACATAATAAAGAGAGATGTATTATGGACTTGCCATCCAAGCTCTGGAGAACAAACTGAGAAGGGTGCCAGCTACCCCTCCCTAACTCAAGAGGAAGTGAGGGGTGGCTTCGGAGGCGGTTTATTCCATGTCCATAGCCTGCCAGTCACTGTGGTCTTCAGGCAGTAGCCACTAAAGGCCATGCGTGTTGTGAATTTATAACCTGCATGTTATAGGATCAGTAGTCACAGCATTTAGGAAATTAGGCTGCATGTACCTTAAGATTATTCTGTTCTAGTAATTGCCTGCGTGTGGTGATATGTTTCCATAAATGATTTATGATTTAAAATCCAAAGAATAATTTCCTTTTCTCATTTAAAAACCTGTCCAGGTAGCAGAGGAACATCACCGTTTGGCCCTTCAGAAGAAATGCCTACTGGCCTGGTTGCAAAGTAGTCAGGAAAGTCTGGCTAAGAAGACGGCCCAGGCTGATGAATTTTATTCCCGTATATTGTTGAGGAGAGTCATTGGGAGCTGGCTCTGGGTAAGGCCACGGGAGGAGCACTCCAGATACATCTCAACTGGTCAGTCCTAGCAAGAAAACGACATGCAGTCCACAGTATCCATGGTCATTAAGACGTTTTCAGGAACAATACATTCAGTCCAGTTCACTGCATTGAAATTAATTTGAAGATGTCAAATCAGTTTTTTGTTCTCACAACAATGTGTGTGAAATGTAATATATAAGGGTACTTCAAAAAGTTCATGGAAAATAGAATTTAAAAATGTTTATTTTGGTGTGACTAATTTTGAACTCCATGCATGGTTTTTTCTTAATATACATTTCCATCAACTTTTTGAAGAGCCCTCCCATCATTACCTCAGTTTTTGCTCCATACTCATGATTATCTCAGTGTTGAGGTAATTTTATTAGAAAGCTACTTCCTCACTCTTGTAACTATTTTTGTTACTATTTTCCTAATACATTATGGAATATATTATCTTGACCACCACGTGAGACTTTTCTCTCTATCCCTCTAGTGTTCTTGATTCTGTTGTTTCTGTTCGAAGTCTCTCATTTGTACTGTTTATTAGCACTAATTCTTTGTCTCACTTTCCTCCATGTCCTCATCTGCAGTACCTGAATGATCTGGAAGAAGAAGTAAGAAAACTTTGTGTACATTTCCTTCAGAAGAAGATTTTCAGGGCCTGGCTTAGCATGGTTAGGGAGGCAAAGAGCGATTCCCAGAGCAAGCATGAGATTGCGGCACAACATAGTGACAGGTGAGGTTCCGAACCCTAAGGAAATTCCCTCCCTAAACAATTGCTTTGGTCTCCTCCTGCAGTGTGTCTGAAAAGATGAGGGGGAAGCCAGAGGCACAAGGTGTTCAGAGACAGCTGGCAGGGGTGGGAGTTCCGGCCTATCCACTGACACGTGGGAGATGGCAAGATAGTAAACCCCCATGTTTAAATGAAAAGCAGCACAAGAATGGTGATGCTAACAATTTTATTATAACATATTGTTACAACTATTTGGTTTTTATGGTTATTGATCTTTTTCTGTACCTAATTTATGAATTAAACTTTATCATAGGTATGTGTGGATTGGAAACAACAGTATTTATAGGGTTGGGTACTATCTGCAGTTTCAGGCCTCTCCAGTGGAGTACTGGAGCATACTGCTGCTCCCTCCCACTCACAGGGTCCTCCTACAGGTAAACCACTCTCCTGACCTGTATGATGAACACTTTATTGCTTTTCTTTTTACTTTTATCTCCTAAGTATGCAGTCTTCAGCATTTTAGTTTACTTTTGCCTGGTTTGGAACTTCATATATATGGAATCATACTCAGTGCCATATTAATATTTAAGATACATTTTTTAAAGATTTATTTGAAAGGCAGAATTGCAGAGAGAGAAAGGGAGGGAGGGAGACACAGGGAGAGAGAGAAAGAGAGAGAGAAAGATCTTCCATCTACTGGTTCACTCCCCAAATAGCTACAATATCCAAGGCTGGGCCAGGCTGAAGCCTGGATCCAGGAGCTTCCTCCAGGTCTCCCACATGGATGGCAGGGGCTCAAGGACTTGGGCCATCTGCTGCTGCTTTCCCATGCACATTAACAGAAAGCTGAATCAGAAGTGGGACAGCCAGGTCTCCAACCAGTGCGCATATGGGATGCCATTGCCACAGGTGGTGGCTTAACCCACTGTGTCACAATGCTGGCCCCCATAAAATACATTTATATGTTTTTTTTGTTTTGTTTTGTTTTTTGACAGGCAGAGTGGACAGTGAGAGAGAGACAGAAAGGTCTTCCTTTTTTGCCGTTGGTTCACCCTCCAATGGCCGCCGCGGCCGGCGCACTGCTCTGATCCGATGGCAGGAGCCAGGTGCTTCTCCTGGTCTCCCATGGGGTGCAGGGCCCAAGTACTTGGGCCATCCTCCACTGCACTCCCGGGCCACAGCAGAGAGCTGGCCTGGAAGAGGGGCAACCGGGACAGAATCCGGCGCCCCAACCAGGACTAGAACCCGGTGTGCCGGCGCCGCAAGGTGGAGGATTAGCCTAGTGAGCCGCGGCACCGTCTTATATGTTTCTTAATCCAAAATCTTTAAGAAATAAGATATTTCACACAAGCAAGCTTTTCTTTGTTTTCTAATTTTAAGCATATTGCACAGGAATGTTATAAGTTTCATTGTACACTTTTCTTTGAAAGTAAACAAATATACATGTTTTTGGTGATTTGGTGTCACTCTTTGTGAGCGTGAGTTAATGTTACAGATGTATGCAGTGATGCCTTTGGGTTCTAAGGTGTAAAGACCTGTACAGGTAGCTAATTACATCTTTTCTCATTACTGATTCATTTTGTTGTTTTGTTTCCATTTGTGTGTGCGTGTATTTGTGCGCCCATGTTCACGCCCATGTTCACATGTATCTCCATTCTTTTTAATAGTTTTCCCTCTCTTGTAACCACTAGGGTACCCCCCTCCAGAAAAATCTGCTCATCCTTGTTTAATTTACAGGTGCTAGAACTCAGTTGATTGTGGAGCAGGTAGTTAGCCTGGTAGTACAGATGCCCGCATCTCACACTGGAATACCTGGGTTCACTTCCCAGCTCTGACTCCTGCCTCCAGCTCTCCAAGAATGCGGAACTTGGGATGCAGAGTGATTGCTCCAGTAATTGGGTTCCTACCACCTACATGGATAGCTGGATTGCATTCCATGCTCCCAGCTTTGGCCCTGGGCTCCTCCTGGCCATTTAAGGCATTTGGGGAGTGAGCCTGAAGATAGCGGGGAACTCTTTCTCTCCCTCTCATATAAATAAAGAGGAAGTTGATTATAATTTTATCTAAATTAATATAAATAGGCAGTGAGGGTATTCAAAGGGCTTGCCTTTGACTAAAATGCCTGAGCTTTAGAGCTCGAAGTTAAAGACTCAGTCCCTGTGTCACAGTGGGCAGACCACCTTTAAAGACTCAGTCCCTGTGTCACAGTGGGCAGACCACCTTTTGAAGCCCCCTCACTCCTAAATTAGGGTAACAACAGAACCTGTTTTATGGGTTGTGGTGAAGACCAACAAGGCAATACAGGAACGCTCTTCAGGCACTGCTGGGCCCCAAATAGTAGCTAATATGGTTTAGCTTAACAGTTATTAAACACCCGTCTTACCTGTGTTTTACTTTCTTTCTGTTTCTCAGCTGCCCAATGCAGACTATGAGATTCATTTCGATCTATCATACAAACTGTCTCATCCCATCACAGTATAACCCGGGGCAGGGGACAGGTGGCATGGTTTCCATTTTCAGGAAACTCATTCAGGGTTTGAAGTTATGAAATAACATGCAACCAACAACAAATGAATTCTCAGTTGTGTCTACTTGCTATAAAAGCATTGCTTTGACTTCATCTTTCCTCCCTTTGTTCCTTGTTCTCCATGTTCCACCCCACTGGCCTTTCTGTAATGCTCCTCAGACAAAGCTCACCTCTACTTCAGAGCTTGCCCACGACCTCTTAGTCCATTCACCTTGCTCTCAAATGTCACCTCCCTGATCACCTTCCCCCATCACTGCCTCTCCATTAACCTTCACAGCACTGAAGACTCTGACAGTATACAGTTCACTGTTGACTTGGTGATTGTCTGGCGCTCCCAATAGAGTGGCTGTGCCACCTCCTGCTGGCTACTGTGCCCTCAGTGCGTGACATGCTTAGTACACGGTGTGCAGTAAATATTTAAATGACTGAACAGATGGATTTTATTGCAGGGCTGACTCTAATGTTTAAAGTAGCAGGCCTTTTAAAATGAACTTTAATATATTTTTAAAAGCTGATATTCAGCAAATGGGAATTTAGCAGTTAAGATGCCCATGTCCCAGAGCAGGCTTTGTGGTGTCACCTGGGATGCCCACATCCCATATCAGAGTGCCTGGTTCAAGTCCCGGCTGCTGCATGGTTCCAATCCAGATTCTTACTGATGCGCCTGGGAGGCAGCAGATGATGGCCCAAGAACTTGGGTTCCTGCCACTTTTAAGAGAGACTTAGACGGAGTTCCCACCTCCTGACTTTGGCCTCAGCCCAGCCCCAGCCATTAAGGGCATTTGGGAAGTGAACCAGAAGATGGGAGTTCTGTCTGTCCCTTTTTCTATCTCCCAAATAATTTTTTTAAAACTTTAATTGATATTGAATATTCTTCATTTTATGTGAATGAAAGAATACTATACCTAAGAGCTATGGGTGAAAGAGAAAGCAGTAAAGACATCTGTTGCTCTTAGGCCTGATCTTTAAACTGAAATAACATCAAGAAAGATGATAAACTAATATTAGGTTTAATTTTACAAATCTATACAACTTCTAGATAATACCTGGTATTTATACATGGTGGGACTAATAGATGTCACCAGGCCATGGTCTCTTTTTTATCAGCAATTATTTTGCAGTTCTACCTCAGAGTTCAGCTACATACTGGTCCAGTTTGTCTCAGCTGAGTAGGTACTTCTTATATTTTCAATACTGTCTTGTCACTGTGGTCCCTAGCCACAATCCCAACATGAAATAGGAGGTGATGAAAGTCACAGAGCTGCATCCCATAAAATGAACACAAGTGTATCACATACAACTTTACACAAAACGTCAAGGAGCTTCTGGACCCTAAGTCAAGGCCCTTATCTTGGTACCTTAAGTCATGATCACTGTACATACACCTATACATAATAATATGGTCCCTAGCTCTCATAATTTAGTAGAAAGCATAATAGATTAGAAATAGAAGCACTAAACCAGTAATTATGACCAGGTGTTTTGGGAGTTCAGGAGGTGAGGTAAATGCAAGTGAGGATAATCTAGGACAGCTTCCCCCTCCTGGGAGCAGAGCATTTCAGTGAGGGTAGACTGCAGGAGCTAAAGTATTGAAGTCAGAAGGTGGGAGTGGAGAGGGGGATGGCACTGTAGTGTAGGTTAAGCCTCCACCTTCAGTGCAGCATCCCATATAGGCACTGATTCAAGTCCCGGCTGGTCCACTTCTGACCAGCTCCCTACTAATGCACCTGGGAAAGCAACAGAGCATGGCCCAAGTCCTCAGGCCACTGCACCCACGTGGGAGACCCAGAAGCAGCTCCTGGCTGTAGCCTGGCCCAGCTCTAGCTGTTACAGCCATTTGGGCAGTGAACCAACAGATGGAAGATCTCTCTCTCTGTCTCTCCTTCTCTCTCTTTGTATCTCTGCCTTTCAAATGAATAAATAAATCTTTTTAAAAAAGAAAGAAAAAAGATGGAGTGTAGCCCGGAGAGAACAGATATGCCTACCCGGTAAGAGGAACAGACAGGATCCAGGATGGGGAATGGACCCCAGAGCCGAGCACAGGAAGCAGTGAGTGGTGCACTGAGTGAGTGAAAGAAGACAGCAACAAAGCAGTTCTACTACTTGGAGGCTTTTTTTTACAAGCAGTACTTCCCACAACAAAAACCAACAGTAACAAAAACACCAGACAGCCAACAGCCATAAAATTAAGAAGTGGGATGCACTGCTAGGCTTCATTAAAGGGTTAAAAGGCCGGAACAAATCCCATTTCTGCCTCTAGTTATTAAAAATATAAACTGAACTACTGTGCCCTTTGGTTTCAGCAATGTAGCTCTCCTGCTATATCAATCCTCGCCTGCGCCGCACTGTCTTGGCCCGTCTGTCTTCACTCCAGCCCTGTCCTCCCCAGGAGAGCCTTCAGAGCTGCTGCTCACTCCAAGACTGGGCAGCAGCAAGCCGCCCTCTTCCACAGCTCCCTCCTTGTGTGCCTGCTGCACCTTCTTTGCTCTGAGGCCTGTGGCTGCCCTTGCCAGGGTCGCTGGCCCAGGCTGCGCTAAGATCAGCGGAGCAGGTGTCATGGCCTGCACTTTCACAGGCTATAGGGGCAGCTGCTCACACAGCAGCCCTCACGAAGAGTTTCCCTGACCACCTGGTCAAAACATGAAAACAATCAAAAAATAAAAATACCCTATCAGTTACTCTGCACCCTTTTCAATGCTGTTTTTCTTTCTTTCTTTTTTTTTTTTTTAAGATTTATTTGAAAGTCAGAGTTACACAGAGAGAGGAGAGGCAGAGAGAGAGAGAGAGAGAGAGAGAGAGAGAGAGAGAGAGAGAGATTGGTATTCCATCGGATCGTTCACTCCCCAATGGGCTGCAACAGCTGGAGCAGCGCCGATCTGAAGCCAGGAGCTTCTTCCGGGTCTCCCACACCGGTGCAGGGGCCCAAGCACCTGTGCCAGCCGCCTCTGCTTTCCCAGGCCATAGCAGAGAGCTGGATCGGAAGAGGAGCAACCGGAACTAGAACCAGCACTTGTATGGGATGCTGGCATTTCAGGCCAGGGCTTTAACCTGCTGCACTACAGCGCTGGCCCCACCACTGTTTTTTCCTCATGGTATTTCACACTGCCTGAACCCCAGCTGTGATTTCCACACCTTTTATATAATGTTTTATTCATGTAGAATCATTTTTATCAAGTGTTTAAGGTCATTCGGATGTAGAATAAACTTCTTCATAGTATTTCAATTTTTTTCACTCTTTATTTTTAAAGGAGGATTCTCTGGCTCATGTTTCAGACATGGAAGAAGTCTGCAAAATTTATGAAAGAGGAAAGACTGAAAGAAGAGAGGCGAGAGCAACTCCGTAGAAGGGTAGCTGAAATTCTTCCAGACTTCCAGATGCCACCGGCACTGTGATCGCTGCGCGTCACAGCGACCAGGTACCAGCCCTGGAGAAAGCGAAGTCTTTGGTGTGCCAGTGAACACGGACCAGTGCAGCGCTCAGGGCGGCGATCTCAGGGGGCCCCGAGTGCACGCTCCTGTCATCGCTGCCCGTATACACGCCCTCGGATCAGAGGAATGATCTGAGAATCTGTACTTCCTCCTTTTGATTTCTCCCAGACTGCCAGTCATTCACTCGAACACTCAGCACTGTGGCGTTATCCAAAGGAACAGGTAAGAGCTCCACGGTTCAAATGGATTCTATTCTCGTGTATTTTTCGCAGAGTAAGCTTAAAAAAGGGACAGGTGTATGCGTGCCTGATCCTGGGAAGGAAAGTATGTTGCTTAAAGGGCGATGTCAACAAATGCGACTTTAATTAAATGGAATTCAGTGGTGCATGCTTAGAAAAGAAGGCGTGGCTGGCTTTCTCGTACCTGAGCAGCAGTGCCAGCCAACCTATCCTCTGTTGAGCACCCCACGCCTCTGAAAGGTGCCCTACAATTCAGAGAAATTGGGGCGCCAAGGATCCTCTTTCTTCAGTGTGTGTTGATAAGCATGCAGGAAATTCCGGAAGCGAATTCTCTATCAAAGACAATCCAGCAACTCAATAAAATGTCTGCTCCTATTTCTAATTGCAACCTCTAAATAATCCTAGCAGTTTGTCTTCCAGTATTCAGTTTGATCTAGATACGGAGATGCTTATCTTAAATCCAAAGAATGGTTTCATCTTTAAGGGGCTGTAAATGCTGGTAACGGTATTCTCTCAGAAAATTATCTGCTAGAGTTCTTCCTCTTCCGGGACGGTGCTTAGAGGCAGCCACAATGGTCCAGCGTTTGACGTACCGCCGGGGGCTCTCCTACAATACAGCCTCCAACAAAACCAGACTGTCCCGAACTCCTGGTAACAGAATTGTTTACCTTTATACTAAGAAGGTTGGGAAGGCACCCAAATTTGCATGTGGTGTGTGCCCAGGCAGACTTCGTGGGGTTCGTGCTGTGAGACCTAAAGTCCTGATGAGATTGTCTAAAACCAAAAAACACGTCAGCAGGGCTTATGGTGGTTCCATGTGTGCTAAATGTGTCCGTGACAGGATCAAGCGTGCTTTCCTTATCGAGGAGCAGAAAATTGTTGTGAAAGTGTTGAAGGCACAAGCACAGAGTCAGAAAGCTAAATAAAAACATGAAACTTTCAAGTAATTAAAAATCAAAAAAAAAAATTATCTGCTAGAAAAAAGTTTTCTTCATTATAACATATGTTTATTGTAACACACTCAAGTAGTCCATAAATGCATATGATAAAATGAGAAAGCCCCCTGCAGTCCTGAGGTAACTGCTACTATTTGGTACAGCTGGCGAAATAAAACTGGGGCTTCTTCACATTGACTGTTACTGTCTCATCCTTTCGAAAGAGCTATCTAGTCATGCCGCCTGCAAAATGACTTAGATCCTCTTTCCATGGACGCTGTGTGAGGATCGACACAGCACAGCTCTGAGTACACTACCACATCCTTGTCCCCACACATCTCTTCCTTTAATATGATCCTGCAGAAGTCATCTAAAAAGAGGCTTTTTCTTTTTAATGCTGGAGGCCACCAAAGAAAACAGAACTAAAAGGAACTCAATCTCTTTCCATCTAACTCAACTATCTGTCCATACCTAGCAGTGGTACAGTTAGATGCTGGATACTGGCTGATACGAACACTCAGAAACCAAATTCCAACTTCATTTTAATATCAAGCCTATCAATAAAGAAGGATAAATTCCTTAAATGAATACACCAGGCCTAAACAGGTGCCATAAAGCTTAAGTGTTCTTTTCCTTTTGCCTGATATCAAGTACCAACTAGAAATTTAGTCTTTAGCAGTCCATATTCTGATTTGGCCAGTGAGGCTTCCTACCTACGTATAGAACCTTCTAAAGAGATAAAAGGAAGATTATTTTGATGTTGTTTCTTGCTGGACCATGATGAAGATTGAAATGTTACTGTTAACTTAATGCCCAAACAGGCAGTATCCCTGACTTCCCAAACTGGAAAGATAACCTACAGGAAAGAGACAGCTGAGGGCCAGGGCCACAGAAAGGGGAGACATCTGTATAGCAAAGAGGCAGCACAGCTACAGTGCAGGGCTTTCTTAAAGCAAGAATTCAAGAGACACACCAAATATTTTCTTTAAAGAAAGCACTTTATTTTCCATTTAAACAACCTGGTCACAGGACATCATTTTACACAATTGGCAGTAATTTGCAAAATCTTCATTTAAAAGGCCTGTGTCTGGGTCTGAGGTGATAAGAGGATCTGAAAACAAGTATAAAAACAGTGCAAAATGTTTAGCGCCCCCCCAGCATCCAGAGTTGGCTTCAGAAATCCCTTTTCACGTTCCCCAGGCCAGTTATGCTAAATGTTGAATTTAATAGTAAATAAGTATTCCTGGGCTTCCAGATAATAAGTATTTCTGGTCTTACGTAAGACCCAGAGATCTCATCAACTGAAAAGGCTCAAAAGCACTAAGAACTCAAACCATCACCTGGACCAGCAGGTCAGGAGCTGAGCTTGTGAGCTCTGTGCTGCGCTGTCTTGTCTGTGGCCTCACCTGAAGACCGGAGTTTAGTAGCATCAGTAACTAGAACAGACAGCTTGGTTTGAAGCTCTGTGTTTTACACAATGCATCTGTGGAGTAAAAGGTGCCACCCAGAAGGCTGGAGCACCAAGGAGTCAAAAGCCCAACTCTGCCTCCAACACACGAAGTCCCCCTTAACCACATTGTCTTTGGCTGCTGCTGCTACTAGGGCCAGCTCCTGTGTGGACTACTGTCACTCAGCAGCAGGATTAGACTCAGCAGATTCTGCTAAATGTTTGCTTCAAAGCAGAGCCAATTCTCACGAACACTGCAACATGAATTTGGTATTGGGGTTAGCATGGCTCTCACTCTCCCCTGCATAGGCTGTACTATCTAATTTAAAATGGCACACTTGTCAGGTTGTGGCTGAGAAAACCAGATTCCCAAACAGCTGCCTCAAGAAAAAGTCTCCTATCATCCACTGCTTGTTTGAGAAAATTCTCCTTTTCAAAATGCAGGGCACAAAAGTATGGCTAAAATGGAGTTAAGTCATAAACTACTTGTTACCTAGTTTAAAGAGATCCCTAAACCTCAAAAACACATCCTGGTTAAAACTGTGTTTCCAGATGTCATGTTTTGCTTACATTAGTTGAGCTTTATAACACAAAGCTAATGTCCAAAGAAACAGTCTGTTAAGCAGATGGTCAGTATTATGTAGAGTCTTACTGGCATTGTGTTTTCTGGCAGTGGAAGATCCAGTATAGAAAATTTTCTCTTACCAAGAATATTCGAAGTACCAAGGACTACTGCATAAGAGAAACTTTGTAGCAGTCTTTCTGCTAGGCAGATGGTACAGTGGAAGACAACAATTAGCTCACTCACTAAAGGCAAACACTATTTGGAAAGCAAAAATTTACAGTATCATAAACACAAACACATGTGGCCTAAGTGAATAAGCAGCAGTTGTCCCAAAAACACACTGAAGGTAACTCTGGTAACCTACCAAAGAGGTGTTAATGGCCGGTTCATCTCAGCAAGGCCCAGCCAGACCCACCAAAGTGCTCCGTGGGTATCAGAAGAAAATATCAAAGAACTTGCTCCTTTCATGCAATCCTGATCCTTAAACAGGAAGAGTCTTCAGAAAGTTCATGAAAAATGTATATTATGAAAAAAACTATGAGTTTCAATTTTTGCACTAAAATAAACTTTTACGTCCATTTTCCATGAGCTTTTTGATGTGCCCATCTACTTATGTTGAATCTCTCAAACAGACCCACTCCTCTTCCCCAGCAATGTGATCACGTGAGTGCTCAGAGTGTAACAGGCAATTTATTAAGCAGCTTCACATTCACAGTGTTTAACAGATGCTGAGGGTGTAGTGTGGGAGAGGAGACCTGCTTGTTTAAAATCACGTCCAAGGGGCCTGATCCTCCGGCTGAGACACTGCTGGCTTACAGGTCCACAGAGCAATTCTGCACTGCTGCCATCACTCCGGAACTTACTCATTTAGAGGTCTTGTCCTTTCAAAGATCGCCACAATAAATTCCTCTGCAATTTGGAGACAATCAAGGCCTTTAACGAAATCCCTCAAATAGTTCCACATCACAAAAAGGCTCAGAAATCTAGGGATACAGTCCAGGGATGTTCCAGATCCTACAGAAGCACTGCTCACACACAGCCCCTTGTTTGCTGTTGCCTGCAGTACAAGCATTTCCGAAAGCTTTCACCCCACAAACCACTGATCTTTTGCCAGGTTCAAAACTGTAATCTGTGTTCTCAAGGAATGTAAAGTAAGCATCAGAGTTCCAATAAGCCAGAAATATATACAAGGAGTCCTAGCCAAGTGAAGGAAAATGAGTTGCCTCACCCAGGCAATCACGTAACAGTGAGCTGTTAAAAAGATGGTGATCATCCCTATTCTCCCGAATGACTCTGGTCTTTATGTACTACCTAGCTTCATCACACTGTATTTTGATTGCTGTTAAAGATGTAGCAAGCTAAAATTACTGCCTATACTAACATTCCTATATATTTTTGTTATCAATTGCAATTCAATCAGTGTTGGCTACACAGCTGACATTCAAGAGATGTGACAACTACCAATTTCTGCCCACATACGCTGTCCCTGACATGATTACAATCTCTCTTATCTAACACCTATACAGAAAGAAGCTAGTTATATTCAATCCAACTTCAGTGCTGGCTGTGGACCAGAAAGAGGACATCACTGTAGAAACCACAGTGTCGGCTAACATCCCAGGCTTGCATTGTGGCTCACTGCCCTGGACTACGGAGCCTCTTGTTCATTAGGTATCATCTCTGGAGAGAGCGAGGACGAGCCTGATTAAACACGTTCCAACTGTCTTACAGACAGCCCAATGGCTGGAAAGACCAGGGACAGTGCTGGCTGCAGAGGGCAGAACTGCAGGAAGGAGTGCTGTTTCCTCTCAACATTCCTCAAGTGAGCACTATCTTCCCCGTATCAAGCCAAGGCAAACTTAAGACTCCATGCGTTATCTTTGGGACTGCACAACAGTACAGGAATAAAACCAAAGGTTCCCAGAGGGTATTTTCCCCATGTGAAATTCCCTCATCTTGATTCTATGGCAGCATGACCTATTCCATATAAATATCTAATCTTTGATATATTTTCAGTTTTGAGATATGATTAAGGAAATCACTTATTTTTGGGAAAAGTGAAGGAAGAATTATAGTCCTAGCAGAAAGCACATATGCCCTGTTGTTTCTCTCCTAGTGAGATACTTCTACTTAAGGAAGGGTGAATGAGAAGTAATGTACAAACTGAGTAGAAAGATGTCAGTCAACTCAAAGAAAGTGCATGCCAGAACAATGTGAATGCCAGAAGACTGATTTTTGTAATTTAGTGCTATAAAATGATGGCATTTGAAATACTTACATGAACCAAAAAAAAAAAAAAAAAAAAAAAAAAAAAATCAAGCCCTTGATGTTAATTAGCCTCCCTACCCAGACAAGAAAATGAAGTGTTGCCAAGGAGTGTCCATTCTCCTCTTCCAGCCACCGTCACAAATGTGCTAGCACCTTAGCAGGTGAAACGTGGAAAGGAAAAGAACATTAATGCTTACTGGAGTTACTTCTAGTAAATCCAAACCGAATTCGCAAAAAAAATAAGAACTCATTGCCTGAACTCATGCCCACTGTACATTACGCCAGTAGCAATTACCTTTACAACTGTTATCAACTGCCTTCCAAGGTCAGATGACTGGCACCAACCCATCTGGTCATCTCCCCTGCTCGGGTAGTTACCGTCCAGTACTTCAGAAGCTCTTGCAACTGCACGGCATTACTGAAAACTCACCACCCACTACCACTGGCTTCAGTCTTGGGAGTCCGCCAGGACTGCTTCATGCCTCCAGCTGCTTCAGTTGCTTCCAGTGCTTTCCACACCTCTCGTCCCTCATGTGACCCTCACAACAGCTCTGTGAGGTAGCCAGGGCAGCCGTGGGTACCCCACCTTACAGATGAACCTGAGACTTGGGAAAGTGACTCAACTAATGGTCACATGGCTATTAAGATTGAAAGAGGGACTAGAAACTACCCTAATCCAAAACTCGCCCCCCCCCCCCCATTAATGGACGGGAGTTGCTTCAATCAATTTGTGCATTAGCAATCCACATCCTTTTCAACTTCTGGTGACTGAAGTCAGTTCCTAAGGTGACTGGAAAAGAATGGCTCTACTTTTACTGCTTCAAAATAAAAATCTCACAAGTTGTGAAGTTGGCAAAACTAACTTCGCCCCAGTCCAGTCTCTAAACCTGAGCATGGCCCTGGAATGCCTTTAGGAAACCAGGGCTACACGTGAACCTGCCACGCAGACATGGACGTGTGAAATGCAAGGGAGGCAGAGGGCAGAGCCATCCCTCGGAGGCGGACAGAAGGCACTTCAGACAATGTCCTCAGCAGGGTGGTGGAACGCGCGTGTGCCCAGCGTGGAGAACTGGTGCCAGTTCCGCAGGAAGCCCCGATTGTACTGGCCTGTGTCCACGATGAGTCCACAGAGGAGCCGCCGCCCAGTCTTCTGTCGCAGAGCCTGCTGGACCTCCCTCTCGGTCACGTTGTAGCTGATGTTGATCAGCTGGATCAGGAAGATGTAGGCCATGCCTGCTGTGATGATCACAGAGTACCACACGCAGGTGAAGGACAGAGCCGAGCTGGGAGGGGGACAGGCCGGTCAGGGTTGCATCTGTGTCACACGCGGACAGCTGCCGCCACTCTAACATTTTACACACGTTCTACTTGTCACTAAGGACTCTGGCACCTCCCCCAGTCCTCCAAACATCAAGAACCAGCTTAACAGATGAGAATTAACATGTTCTATTGTATCTGGTGATCCTCAGTGCCTCTTTGTCTGCTATGTTATACTAGAACAGCAACGGCTGTTTTTGGCATTTTGTGTCTTGCACACAACTAGCACAGGGCCTGAAGGAATGGTGTTCAACACCCGTGGGCTGACTGAATGCACAGTCCCTGAACTGGAGCCAACTAACTCATGAGAAGACAAGGGCACCAGGCGACACTGTGAGCTTCCTCCTGAAGCCGGAAGTGGACCCCCGGGGGCAGGGCTGCAGTTCTGCATTCTCTCTGCAGTCCAGTGCTGATGAGAACAAGACAACAGCCCCACCAGCAGCAGCCCCTTACTCACCTGTACAGACGTGGGGCACGGTAGCATTTACAGTTCAGCTTCCTAAAGCCGAACCATGGCCCAGGACAGGAAAGCTCCTTCCAGGCTCACTAGTGAGACTATGGGGGAGGGGCTGCCGACTGGCATCTGCATCTTTTCTGTCCATTCAAACATTCACCAATCAAGAGTGGGTTGGAGAGGCTTTGAAAAATATAAGACTTTTGGATTGGGAAAAAAAAAAAAAGTGGAAGCTGGGTGTGCTTTCTCAATTGTCACAAAGACGCTAACATGAGATGTTAATAGGAAATGCGGTGAGGGATATATGGGAAACTCATTGTATTACCACCTCACAATTTTAGTTTCGTAAAAGGTATTCTGAAATAAAATATTTAAAAAAAGAGAGTGAGTTGGAAATACATTCACTCAGAATCTTCATGCGTGAAGCTGAAAGACGTCTTGGTGATGATGAAACCCATGGACCTCATCAGAAAGACAAGGCGCCGTGAGTCACACACACAGAGTAGGGGCGGGCCACAGCAGGCCTGTGCCCTCAGCTCCTTCCTGCCGCCCCCCCCCCCGAACCCAGAGGTGTGCTGCTCCACTTAGGACGCTCATCATCCCCAGTCTCAGCAAAGACACCCTGAGGAGGAGGGCCGGCCCTTCCAACCACGCCCACAAATTCTCATCCAGGATGGAATGATCGAGATGGGAAACGTATGCCCTCCTGAGACACTGGTGACAAAGAGCAAGCATTCCTCTGAAAACAAGGAATGAAAAGAAAGAAACCACAGATACCACAAACATGGTGGAGGAAGAAGCCAGCCGTGGGCAGGCAGGGGCAGTGGGGCCGACGCTGCAGATCCCCAGCGTTGGCCATAAACGGGGCCCCACCCAACAGTGCCCAAGGAAACTGTGACCTGGATAGTACAGTAATCAGGAGAGGTGGTTTAAAAAAAAAAAAAAAAGTAGAACAGAACAAACCAAGAGAGATTAGAAAGAAAAAGCAGGTTGGAGAGAAACAGAGCCCTCCCCAAAGGGGTTGGCAGCACTCAATTATTATTGGGCTAAAAAAATCACCAGAAAGCAGCAGTAAAGTGGGAGGAGTTTCCTGATGCTAATGACAGCACAGGCCACATGGAGAGCCTGGGACAGGAGTTTTAACTACTGTTTCAGTTCCATTGTCCGTGGGAAGGGTCACTGGATGCTGGAGTCCTGAATTAGTCTGGGCCTGTGTGTACAGCACTGGCGCTTGACTGTTTGAAGGGTCAGTGATGCGTCTGACATCACCCTAGAAAATGCACATAGCCATTGCACTATTTTGCTGGCAGTTTCAGGGGTACTCAGGCCTGTGCTACATTTTGCCTCACCTGGCAGCCAAGTATCAGCCCCTGTTAATGGCAACATCCATTACTTCCCCCATGGTTCTCTTCTGTGGTATCCATAGCTCACCTGTAATTTGCATAAACTCCAGGACAGTAGAAGAGAGCTGTGAAGACACTTCTATCTCTACAAATGGTATCCAGGGTCAGCGTGATCCCGTACACCGAGGTGAGCAAGAAGATCAAAAGGGCAAGTATAAATGCTTGATGATTTGATTCTCCAACGCAGCTATTTATCCTCAAAACAGCACAGGAGAAAAAAGAACAAACATGTTTTAAAGAGTTCTCAATGTAATTTACATAAAAAAGTCTTCAAAACAGGGCAAGTGTGAATTTCAGTTATGAAAAAGGTCTCTGTTTTTTCAACATTAGGGAGTTAAAAACCTTGCCCACTTAGGGACACTGTCTTATATTCTCTACTCTTTGCAAAGTGCAATTACATCATTAGTTTAAGAGCAAGATGAAGTAAAAAGCGGAAAGTGGCTAACCAATCTTCATCACTACTAAGCGAAGTATCACCTAGCTATGAAGAAAGTTGGCATTATCATCACCATGATAAACAAAGGGAGATAAGTAAGTTATGAAAACTTAACAATGCGAAATTGGGGACGGGCTTTTGGCACAGTGGGCAAGCTGCCACTCGGATGCCTGTGTTCTGTGACCGGAATACCTGGATTCAAGTCCTGGCCCTACTTCCAATTCCAGCTTCCTGCTAACGTGCCCCAAGAGGCCACAGGTGACGGCTCCCATACTGGGGTTCCTCTCTCCCTTCCCTCACTCCTTTGGAAACCTGGATTGAATCCCAGGCTCTTGGTTTTGGCCCAGCCCAGCCTCGGCTGTTGTAGCCATTTGAGTAATGAACCAGCAGAGGGGAGAACTCTTTCAAGTGAATGAAATTTTAAAAAACTGGTTAATCGGAATTACTAAACACTATGGAAAACATGCTTGTGGTGTACAGAGAGTAATAAAAAGATTAAAAGAAGTTAGAACCATCGTGTGGGGTACAGAACAAATATGCAGGCTACTTAACAGGTACAAATCTGTATTGTGGCGATTTGTTGTACAGGCAGGCCCTCCTGCCCGCTGCACATGGGGCTGTGCCAGTGGCCCCAAGAGATGTCCAAGACCCTCTGCAAACAGCCAATAGACATCCATGTGTACACACGTATGCACCCCTAGCAATGAAGACACAGAAACACCTGTTCACTGCTCAAGACAAAGTCCGAGGAAAGTGATGTCTCTACTTGAGCTGTGAACCTATGTCTGCTCCAGTGCCCAGCCGCCTTCCTGTATCCTCACACCCCCTTCTGAGGGGGAGGTATGCTACATGATCAAACTCTAGACACAAAACACACGAATTCATTGATCAGACTGCCTTATGAGCAATAAGGCTGCGAGCGTGCTGCCTACAGCAGTCACATCTGAATAATTGCCCTCCCTTTCAATTACACGCACTCCCTAAAGCCCAACATTCTCTACATGTTGCACTTGACAGCTTATGGGCCTCACAGGTCTTCACTGGTACCGGCCAGCTAGAAGGTACAAAAGAAGCCCATCTCTGCAGATAACAAACCAGAAAATTAGCTCATGGGGCCTCAACTCGATAATGTTGACTGCAAATCAGTGGTAGCACCGAAAGGGTTACAGATAGGTCACAAGAGGACAGAAGAGTCACTTAAAAATAAGAGAACACTTTCTTTAGCTCTGTGTTCAGAAGGAGGAGCACAGGGAACTATGCCTATACTGCTTCTGATAAATCCTTTAAAAAAAACCCAAAACCGTCATTGTGGTGCTGTTGCCACTTGGGATGCCTGCATCCCACGTGGGAGGGCCTGGTTGGAGTCCCGGCTACTCCACATCCAACCCAGCTTCCTGCTAACGCATCCTGGGAGGCAGCAGGTGACGACAGCTCGTGCGTGGGCCCCTGTCACCTACGTGGGAGACCAGATGGAGCTGCTGGCTCCTGCCTTCAGCCTAACCCAGCCCTGGCTGCTGAGGGCTTCTGGAGAATGAACCAGCAGATGGCAGATCTCTCTCTCTGCCTTTCAAGTAGATGAAAATAAACATTTTAAAAAATCATTCAACTATAGCTTCTTCTCTATTAGAAAGGAGAAAATCAATGAAGAGCAGTTCAGAAGAAAATTGAAAGAAAAAAAAAATCCAACCTTTTCGGTTATGCTCCTCCAGGAGGGACTGAAGGAACTGAGTATGTCAAAGTGGAAAGCCTGATGACTAAGTGAGAACACTGTGACAGCCCACAAATACCCGCAAGGTGAAAGCCAGGGGAACGTGAGGACGGCACGGAGGAGGCTCAGGCCCGCCTGGCGCTGTGCACAGGGGTTCCCACCGTCCGGGCCTCCTGCCTGCCCCCACATACCAGACACAGTGATGATCCATCCTCCGCACACAGAGGCCACAGATCCGGCAGTGCCACGCCCGCGCCGGCCGCACCAGCTGACACTTGGCACACCAGTCCTCCTTCGGCTTGGTGGGGCTCCCAGCCTGCATCCTGGGGGAGCCCTTAAGGTCCTCCTTTGGGGTGCGATTGTTGAGGCTGCCCGCCGTCTCTGCGCCAGGAAACCCTTTGGTCTTCTCCGGCCCTTTTCTAGGCAGGCCTTCGGTGTGGCTGCTGCTTGGCGACCTGTCGCTGCCTGCTGGGTTGCTGAGGTAGCCCGGGTTCTTCTTGGCTCTGTACAGGGCTAAGAGTATCAGAAATAAGCCGCAGGTGAGCACAGCCAGCTGGGTGGGCCCCACACGCCCTTTGGGGACCACTTCCTGCAGGAACACGTAGTACATGTAGCCCAGCGAGAACAGTCCAAGGCTCAGGAAAAACAGAGTCTGTTCTTTCCTTCTGTGAGTGAGGTAGTAGTACCACAGTGCCAGCACAGGGAGCGAGGTCAGGACCACCGCGCCCAGGAGGAAGTGCCAGGAAGCCACGTGAAGGAAGACGGGCAGCAGCACGAGCGGCGGGACGAGGCTGACGTTGACTTTTTTGGCTCCCCTAAGCCAAGGAATCCGGAGGCGATCAGAAATCGTATCCATGATTCTCTCACAGGTCTCCGGCCGCATGGATTTACACGTAATCCATCTACTCAGAAAGAGCACACAGAGAAGCCACTTTATATCTGTTGAATTAAAAACCACGGAACGCTGAATGCCGAACAGCGGGATAAGTAATGAAAGACATCGAAGGCCAAAGCATTCGACTTCCTTACTATTAAACATGAGCTCTCCAGGTTCATGTGTCGTTACTTATACATAGGGACAAGAAGATGAGGTGTAGAAATTTAACAGTCCAGATTCTCTCTCCAGTAAACAAATCCCAGCTACATACACGTCCTCAGGCAGACCCTTCGGGCTGGGCGAGGCAGTCATGAGCCCCTCAGGACCACTCACGACCTACAGCAGACATCCCAGAGGGCTCGGGAGAGTGAACGCTTCTGGGCGGGGGTCGCTACAGGGGCCTCTGTGGAGACACTGATGGCCGGCCAGCCAGCACTGACAGCGTGCGTGCCAACAGAAAGAAAGCTGTGTAGCACAAAACTCGCTTGAGGCCCAGGCAGAAAATCATTCTTCTAAGGAAGGATGCCGAGCAGACTAGTGTAAGAGAGATGACCGGGCCAGCTGAACAGAGGGTATTTGCTAGCTTTTTTGCACACTTAATCTGTGCCATGGTCCTTATGTGTTAGCCTCACCACCTCCATTCATGTATCAAAAGCTAATCCCCAAGTGCGAGAGGGCTGAGAGGCAGGCCCTTCCGGAGGTGTTGGGTCATGAGGGGCAGCACGAGGTGCCATGGGTGAAGCAGAGAGCACGCCTCCCCCAGGCACTGAAACTGCATGTTTGACCTCAGACTTCTCATGTTTGACCTCAGACTTCTCAGCATCCAGAACTGCGATGTCCTCATCTAAGGTACTTTGTTACAGCAGTCCCGACTAAGACAAACACTGGCAGCTCTGGAGCTGGGGGATGGGTAAGAGTAAGGGTTTGAAGCACATGATAGCAAAAACCCAACTTACTGTAACTGGACTAGCCAGCGCAATTCTGGTTAGAACTCAGAAGAAAAAGGCCTCAACCTTAGGGATGACCTATGAGGCCATGAACGGAAGGTTGGTAGACACAAGGATGGAAAAGGCCATTCTGATGAGGTCTCAGACAGAAATAAGCAACGTGTTATCAGAAACCTCAAACAGCGGCAAAAAGCTGGGCTGGAACGTGTTTGTGTCCTAGGCACGTAACGGAAGCCAGAGCTCCGAAGCAATGAGACTGCTCATATTTGGCAGAAGAAATCTCTATGTATTTGTGCTACCACAAGGCTTCTCATGAATGCTTATGGTAAAATAGGAAGAGAAACAATTTATAATCAAAGGCAAACAATTAGAAGTTTGGAGAACTCTAAGCTCTCTCAGTCTTGTCCATATTGAAACAAATGAGAAAGGTGTGTTTTGAGAGACCACCAGGCTGGGGAGTGTGGAGATCCCCGTGGATCAGCCCTGTGCACCTCATCAAGACAATGGAAGAATGACCCTGAATGCGTGCTGGAGACCCTTGGGGCTGTCACTCCCATCACAAGCCTGGTGTGCCAGCGCCCTTGGGATAGAAGGGTTTCGTAACATGGGTCAGGGCACTGTGGGCCCAGGGCTCACTGCCCAGCACCACCCGAGGCTCTGCTCACTCCAGGCTGCGGCTCCAGTGGACCCAGGTGTGCTGCAGGCGGCAGTGGCCACCCTCCAAAGGGTACAGGTCGTCAATCTGGGCAGCATCCAGACGGTGCCAAGTCTGCAGGCATCTGAAGGGTGAAAGAGCTGGAGAGGCAAGGCTACTTCCTCCATGTCAAAGGAGACCCCAGACAGCCTGAGGCCAAGGCTGACCACGAAAGCCCCCACCATGCCCAGTGAAACCTGGGGATGGCATCACCACAGAGAGCCCCCACTGCGTCACTGCCTAACAGAGAAGTGGGGGCAGGGCTGTCCGTAAGACTCTAGGCTGACAGAGCCACCAGGGTGCAACTCCAAGCTGGAAGAGCTTAGACCTCTGACTCGAACCACTGCAAGCTGCAGTATGGGATGTGCCCACAGAGCAGGGATACCTGCAGCCACAGGGGCCCATCCCCGTGTGTCCAGAAGGAGGACTAGCTCATCAAAGAAGATTATTTTCAAGTCTTAATACCTAATATTGTTTGCTTTTCTGGGACTTGTCAGTAATTCTTTCCTATTTTTTTTTTTAAAGATCTATTTGTTTTTGAAAAGCAGAGAGTGAGAGTTAGGTGGAGAGATAGAGAGAAATCTTCTATCTGCTAGTTCACTCCCCAGACGGCCTCAAGCCAAGACCAGGTCAGGCAGAAGCCAAGAACTAAGAACTATACCAGGGTCTCTCATGCGGGTGGCAGGAGCCCAAGAACTTGAACCATTTTCTGCTGCCTTCCCAGGCACATTGACAAGAAGCTGAATCAGAAGAGCAACCAAGACTCGAACATGCACTCTGCTATGGAAATACAGATATGGGATGTGGTGGTTTAACCCATTGCTCCACAATGCCTGCCCCTTGTTTCCTACTTCTCACTTTTGGAATGGGAATGTCTATTCTATGCATGTCCCACTATTGTATCTTGGAAACACATAATGTTTCATTTCACAAGCTCACAGCTGGAGGGGAATTTGCCTCAGCAAAGGAGCAGAACTTGAGTCTCTCCCGTACCTGATTTGTACACTCTGGATTTTGGAGCTTCTGAGTTCATGCCAGAACAAGTTAAGACTAACTGGGCTATGGGGATGAAATAAATATATTGTGCACGTGAGAAGAACATGAACTTGGGGGGCAAGGGTAGACAACAGCAGTAGATAGGTAGGGTCTGAATATCTGCATCCCCCAAATTCATATGTTGACTCCTAGGGGCCAGCGCCATGGCACAGTGGGTTAATTTTCCACCTCCGGCACTGGCATCCCATATGCGTACCGGTTCTAGTCCTGGCTGTTCCTCTTCTGATCCAGCTCTTTGCTGTGGCCTGCAAAAGCAGTGGAAAATGGCCCAAGTCCTTGGGCCACTACCCACGTGGGAGACTGGGAGGAAGCATCTGGCTCCTGGCTTCAGATCAGCACAGCTCCGGCCATTGTGGCCATCTGGGGAGAGCAACAGAGATCTTCCATCCACTATTCCATTTCCCAAATGCCTGCAGCAGCTGGGACTGGGCCAGACCAAAGCCAGGAGCTGGGAACCCCATCCAGGTCTCCAACGTAAGTGGCAGTAAACAAATACTTGAGCCATCACCACTGTCTCCCAAGGTGTGCATTAGCAGGAAGATGAAATTGGAAGTGGAGCCAGGACTGAAACCCAGGCTCTCCAGCATGGGATGTGGGTGTCCCAGGTGGCATCTTAATCATTGGGCAGAGCCCAATCCAAAAGCTTACAGGGGCTCATTCACCCCTCCTGCCAGGTGAGGGTGCCACAAAAGAAGCTGACAGGAAGAGAGCTCACCCCTGACACTGCATCTGGCTAGACCTTCCTAGCGTCTGAAACTACGAGTGAGTAACTTACGTTGTTTATAAATTACCCAGTCTGAGGTATTTTGGCAACCTGGATGAACCAAGGCTCCAAAGGAAACACAGAGGGTAAAGAAAGACAAAGTTTTTTACAGTAGGACTGGAACTTGGAAGTGAGGGCAAGAAGACTACGCAGGAGTCACACGGTACAACAGCACGCAGTGGAAGCCTAGAAGCCCATCTCCACAGAAGGGCTGCGAGAGCGCAGGGGACCGAAGTCCCAGGACAGCCCAGGTCTCCAAGGCCAGGAGGAAGGAAGAGTCAGCAGGGTTAATGGAAGAGCTGCAGTCTTGCGTGATGGCAGTTATGGAAACAGCAGCATTTCTCCTTCATTAATGCGAAGTGCTCCATTTTCCCCAGTATGCATTTTAGACTAAAGAGCCTGGATGTAGACACCTGTAAAAAATGGCTGCAGGCACTGTCAAGGAAGAACTGAAACAGGGTTACGGGTCTTTGGGAGTCAAGGCAGATACTAGCTTGCAGTGGTTCCCTGCACATGCCTTCAGGCCTGGCCTAACACAGCCAGCTCCAAGTCAGCAATTTGCGCATATAAGGACTCCTTGTTAACCAGAAGTAATTATTACTGGAAAATGTAAGTTCCCAATATACCTGTTATTCCCATATCACACTTTCCAAAAGGCAACACATTTTAAATATATAATTACTTAGAAAATGGGTAAAAGCAAGGTTACAGTTGTTTTTGGTACAAAATTCTTTGTACGAAAGAATGATGTTAAAAATGTTTTGCACAGTAATTTCCAACACTGAGAACCGGTGAAAATAAAGGTGAATGAAGTACAACATGCTCAGTGAAGCCACGGCTCTGCCCACACCAAAGGCCACCGTTCCAGGGGAGGCACATGCCTCTGGCCAGCCCCTCTTCCCACAACCCGGGGGCAGGCCTCCCACCAAAAGCCAGGAAAATGACCTTTCAACCCCCAGGGTGCAACCCAGTCCCAAGTCATCTCCCGTGAGAGACCACCGAGAATGTAGGAACTTTCTGGAACAAATATGTTCATTTTCAACAGATTCTGCCGCCTCGCATTTCATTTATTTATTTGTAATCATTTAGCATCCGTAATATCCCTTTACCTGCTTTTTCTCTATCATCTCCTCTCTTCAAACATAAAATGATAATGTTCTAGCAAACCAGCCGGGCACACAGTTGTGCACTACTGCGTGATACATCTTTACAACAGCCTCACCCTCAACACTGAAAAAACAACTCTCAATGTTAGACCCTTGGCAACGCAAACCAAAAGCAAATGCTCGCGTTCTGCAAGGCTAAGGGGAACGCAGTGGGGTCGGCACCGCGAGACCTCGGATTCTTACCTATCACACCCTTCGTCCAGGTCCTGGCAGTCACACAAACAAGCAGCCATGTGGTTCTTTTCCCCATTTCGATCTATGTACTCGCAGCAGCACAGGGGCTCCAACTCAGCTTCTTCGGTTTTCCTTTTCTTCATTGGCTTCATACTGCCCTTCTGTGCGGTGACTGGCACCTGTCACCCCGAGGCGTAAGAAGCCCTCAGAAGGTGAAGGTGGAAAGAACACAACTCACATCTTGTAAACACATCCACGCCTCTGAGTATCCGCCAACGCCTAAGCAACCAAAAAATGAGAAGGAAGCCCGCTGTCATCGGCTTTCGTGGCTCCGCTCGGCCAGGCAGGGGCGCCCAGGGCTCTGGGGGGCTTACAGCTGCCTTCTCTGCCCCCTCCCAGCCAGGGCACACGCCGTTCCCATGGCGACGACCGACCACGCGGCCCGGGACAGCCGGAGCGCGGGCGGCTGTGTTCACCTGCGGGTGCGCACCGGGGAGGGCCAAACGGTCCCCGCCCCAAGGCTGGGAGCTGGTGTAAACTCACCCCTTGGGGCTGCAGGGAGAAGCGAACCGTACGCCCGCAGACACCGGCGGACGCGCCTGGCTGCTAGAACCAGCAGCCCGGCTCCGGGAACGCCACCAGCACCCGCGCGCAGCGCCCAAGATCGCCGTCCAGCCCTGCTGCTTCGGCTGCGCCCCGGGCGCGCCTCGCCCGCCCCCCGCCAATCGGGAGGACGTGGGCGGGCCTCGAGCACCGCCCCGCCCGGAGAATGACCTTGGAAGGGAAGTTACCTGCTCTCCCAACGGAGGTGTGGCTGCAGCCAGAGAGGCGGAGACCGAGCGGAGGAGGGTCGGCCCTGCTGGAGGACGCGGCCCCGTCTGCCGGTCCCGCTCAGCCGCGCCCTCGCCCAGCCACCCACCTGTGACCACAACCCGCTGCCGCCGGGACGCGGTGCCCGCTCCACCCCCGGCCGTCCGGGCTCGGCGCGGCAGGTCCGCGCGCGCTTCCGGGTGCCCCGCCTCCGGCGCCGGGGATCCCCGCCCGCCCGCACGTGCGCCGCCCGCCGCCCGCCGCCCCGCGGAGCCCGCGGCCGAGGCCCCTCCTCCCGCCCGCGGCCCTGGCGCCGGGAGGACCGGAGGACGCGAGGGCTGGCTCCCCGGGGCTGGTCCCGGCGGCGGGGCGCGAGGATGGTTCCTCGCCCCGGCGGCCGCCCGGCCCCCGCCGGTGCCTGCGGGGAGCACGTGGGCGGGGCAGCCTCAGGAGCCCTCGGGGTGCGGGCGAGGTGCGGAGACGGAAATTCGGGACAACCAGGAATCCGGAGGATTTCCGAACTACGTGAGAGCGTGGTGGGCCAGCTCTCCTTCGACGCCCGCAACAGGCGTTGAGGGGGCGCCCCACAGCGAAATGTGAGCGAGGTACCTCCCCCAAATTCGCTGACCTTCCCTTAAAGGCCCACCGCGGCTCCCAGATGCGCCAGGTTAGCCAGGTGGTTGGTTGGCGTGATTTCTGGCCAGCAGTGTTTGACATCAGGCCAGCAGGCCTCTCCGGCACTTCTGTTCAGTGGTCTGCATGTTGAAATTGCCCTGAGATGAGAGTCCTCTTTGGGTTTTACTTGTGCACCAAATTTTACTAACTGTAGCTTCATGTACACGTTTTCACTATTGCAGGTTTCTAGTTTGGGGGAGTTTTTGTTTGTTTTGTTTTTAACACAGAAAAGAAAAATTACAGCTCAGACATTTTGGGTCTTGATATTCAATTTACAAAGCAGATTCAAATTTTATTAATTGAATTCTGCAAGCATACATATGTATTTAGTCTTAATTTATAAAGCAACTTGGGTAATATTTGAGGTATGTTATACAACTTTTAAAGATGCATCAAAAATACTCAGTTTGTTAATGATCACTTTTGTGAATTTAACTTGGAAACTTTCAAGTTTATAATCCAGTCGCACCTGCTCTCAGCCGGATTAAAAAAAAAAAATAGCAGGTAGGTGCACTGGTCCCAGAAAGATTAGATGGGATTCACCCAGAGAAAACCATTTACCTGCTAATCCAGTCAGTACAGGCAGCTCAGAAATGAACTTAACAATGCCCCAGTGACTTTGGTGACTCTGGGAGAAAGGGAAACACTTAACTAAAGAGTTGCTCAAACAGTAAGAACTTACACACTGTGTGTGTGTATGTGTGTGTGTGTGTTTTCCAGAGAAAGACTTCAATAGGACAAAACAGTGAAATACATCCTGAACATTCCCCAGGTCCTGAAAAAAAAATCAGATTTCTATTCAGTTCCCAAAGTCCTTATTTTCACAAACCTGGATTGAAACATATGTACCCCAAAACCTTTAAGAGCCAAAAGAGCATACATGTCCCAAGCTTTTATTAAAGAGCTAAAATTTGTGTCTGGCTTATAATTTACCAATTAAAACAAGCCACACACACGAGTTTGTAAAGAATGGAACCTTACGTAGTTACTGAAAAGTCATACACATATTAGTTCCAGCCCAATGAGTCACTTCTACCGTGAAAGGTTGTGAGCTGAAGCCAAGCTGAATTCAAGTCTGCATGTGATCTGTCACTCAGATTTTAACCTAATCTTCGGGTTTTTGAAACTCAGACGACGGTTCTCTACTTTGAACGTTGGTATCTTGCGTGTTTCCTCTTCCTAAATTGACTCTTCTCCCATTTTTGTGTATAAGGAGGCAAGATAACCTCACCCCATAGCTACCTTAAGAAAAAATAAGTTTATCTTTCATAAAGATAACAACATGGCTAAAGAACCTTTCAGATAACCATCACCAACATGCACATTCAAAAAGGTTGGGCTGTTGAGTTTGCATGTTAAATAAAGGAAGACACTGTAATATTTATAGTTCACAAACCTAGAAATATTATGATATGTACCTGGAAATGGATCCTTTAAAGTTAGTAATTGTATTATCTTCTTTAGCCTCTGAACTTATGTACAACCATGAAAGCAACCTGTTGGACACATAGCCATTCCTGGGCTGACAGATACATTGAAAACATCAAACTTCAAATCTCACTGTAGAAATGAGGCCGTACTCTCAATTCAGAGTGCCCCACTTTCTTTGTGTATCACAGAAATTCAGTTCCAGAAATGTGTATCCATTCACTGGAGAAATTCACAGCTTAGAAATATGTATAAGAAGTTAATGGTCTAATTCTCAAATAAGTGTTATGAAAAGAATATTCATATTAGAAATCTCAAGAATGAGAAAACATGGAAATGTTCCCGTGACAGTTGAGATCCTTCATCCTCTGGTTGTCTTCCAGATGTTTTCATTTAGTTGCAAGTATCTCTCAGTTTCAGTCCTTAAGCTCACTAGCTTTCAACAGCCATGCCAGTCTTGTTCTTTTTTAGTAGCTCAAAAGTTTTCTGAAGCATAACAAGTGAGCTCTTCAACTGCAAACAAAATTAATTTTCAAAATCAGATTGCTTAAATTTTACTGATTGTTTTATGCCAAAAGTTTACCATTACATTTAATATAATTTTGCTTATACAGATGCCCAAGTGAAACACTGACTGTGAAGTGCCCGATTCTTTAGAACACCTGTTAGTATGATTGCTCCCACTGACTGAATCTTGTACTTCCTGCTGCATATATGCTACCTTCTAAGAGGTCCATTCCACAAATATCCTAAGCGGAAAGCTTTTGTTCAATGATGTCTGAAGTTGCAGTGGTCTCCCACTATCCCCTAGACAGCTCAGCTACACTGAGCCCACCTTGTGCCTGCTATTAGGGTCATGTTCCTCTTCATCCCTCTAATACACACCCAGGGAGTTCTCTGATCATGCTGGGCATTGTGCTGAGCACTGGGTATGCAACAGTGAGCCAAACAGGCTCTCCTCCATGGAGGGATAAACTACAATAAAATAAACACATACAGAAACGTATATTTGGATGTTTTATTAAGTGTTTAACTTGAGCAGCTAACTGGTAGTGTCATTTTCTAGAAATGATCCTCTAGAGAAAACAAAGCTTTGGCCTGCAAGAAAATTGAATTCTGTTTTGGATATGCTCATTTTGAGATGCTTGTTAGCCATCAGGTGATCCAGTCAAGTAAGCAAGTGGAGAGCTCAGGGAAGAGATCCAGGTGAGAGGTGAGAATCTGGGAGTTGCTATGGACTGAATGTTTATGTCTCCTCCAAAATGAATGTTGAAAATCCCCAGTGCAGCAGTATTAAAAGGGGTGGCCTTGGGGAGGCAGAGACTCATGAATGTATTTGCTAGGGCTCCTATGAACAGACGGGAGGGAATTAGCTGGGCCCCTTTTTGCCTTTGATCTTTCCGACAAAGGAGAACACCTAGATGGTGCCATCTATGAACAATAAGGCCCTCACCAGACACCAAGGCTGCCAGCGCCTTGTTGTGAACTTCCCAGCCTCCAGAACTGGAGCTGCTGTTTACAAATTACCCACTCGTAGACACACAACGGTCCAAGACGGGAATCATCAGTGCATAGTTATTTAAAGTTAGAGGAGTGGATGAGATCACCTAAAGGGAAAGTAGCTGGACAGGGGAGAGAACTTAACGGAGCCCTGGGGCATATGGGCCAGGAAGAGGTCAGGTGCAGGAGATGGTTCTGACCGGCAGAAAGGAGTTTTACATTATTCTAAGTGAAAAAGGCAGTCACAAAACACTACATATTGTATGATTCCATTTATAGGCAATGTCAGGACAGGCAAAGACATAGCAACGGATAGTAGATTAGTGGGTGCTGGGGTTAAAGGGAGTGAGGGCTGGGAGTAGCTGCTGATGGGTACAGGCTTTCTCAGGATGATGAAAATGCTCTGGAATTGTGGTGGTGGCTGCCCAACCTTGTGATGTACTAACAACTCTTTAAAAGGGTGAATTTTATGGTTTGTGAATGATATGATGATAAAACTGGGTTCTTAAATGGTTGTAAAGAAAGCAAGATTAGATACATATCAAGAAAGGAGTGGTCAGCTCTGTCAAATGCTTACATCAGATGAAGACTATAGCAAGGTATATTATCTTTACAGGCTAAATGGTCACTGGGAACCTTCGTTCACACAATACCAGTGGGGAGAACTATGCAGGAGTGAACAGAGGAGCAAATGAGTAGGTTAAATACACGCATTCAGCTTTGTTTCCCCCTGAATCCCCGCGGAAAGTATAGTAAAGGGATTTTTTTTTTAAAGACATGAATCTGCCAGGGTGGGGAGAACACAGGAGTAGGCAACAGCAATGTAACTTACTGGAAAGCGACTGGATGACTTAGCAAGCCTGAAAAAACTGAGTCCTAAACAGTGGGGAGCACAGAGCCAACATCAACCCTGAAGGACCTTGAAAAGGCCCAGGCAGATGGTCAGGAGTCACTAGAACTGGGAATCAAGAGAAAGGAACCACAATAAGGACTGGGCGAGACTCTGGGCATCTGACGTCGCCTGCTGTGTAGGTGGAAGTGTGAAGTTGTATTTTCTGGACAGGATAAACTGAGGGTCCCTGCTCAAGGGACACCAATGCATTGTTCAGCAAAAACAGAGATCATATGAGAAAGTGTGCGGTGAGATCATCCCTTCTCCTTCTTTCCCCTCCCCTATTTTTTTTACTCAGCTCCTAAAATGCTGGCAGCCAACCCTTAATCCTTCAAGTAGAAGACTAGGAAATTCTCCTTTGAAGAAACTGACCAATCCTGTGACCAACTGACCTAGAGATAGGATAGCAGCATTTCTCAACCAACATTTCAGCAGATCTATAGTAAAGTTCAGAGGCTGGAGTTGTAGCATTAGGTTAAGCCTCTGCCTATGGCGCTGGCATCCCATATGGGCACTAGTTCATGTCCCAGCTGCTCCTCTTCTGATCCAGCTCCCTGCTGATGACCTGGGAAAGCAGTGGAAGATGGCCCAAGTGCTTGGGCCCCTGCACCCACATGGGAAACCCAGAAGAAGCTCTTGGCTCCTGACTTCGGATTGGCCATTGCAGCCATTTGGAGGGTGAACCAGCAAACGGAAGAACTTTTTCTCTGTCTCTCCCTCTCTAACACCACCTCTCAAATAAATAAATATAAAATGTTAAAAGGAAAAAAGAAAAGTTCAGGTACACCAGCCCAATCCATGTGTTAAGAGCTTCTTAGCCACACAAGTAGACAACAGAGGACTATTAGGCCTCTAAAGAAATCTTTTTATACTAAAGATAGAAATGTAAATGGAGGAAAAGGATCCTGATGAAAAATGAGTATGCAAGAAAAAAACAATGGACTCAGATTTCTTCATAATAACACTGGAGATAAAATACAATGGAGCAGGACTGGTATTGTGCAGTGGGTTAAGCCACTGCCTGGTTTGCTAGCAACCCATATGGGTGCCAGGGTAAGTCCCAGCTGCTCCACTTCCTATCCTGCTCCCTACTAATGCACCTGGGAAAGCAGCAAAAGATAACCCCAGTTCTTGGGCTCTTGCTTCTCAGAAAGGAGATCTGGATGCAGTTCCAGGCTCGAGGCTTCAGCCTGGCCCAGCCCTAGCCATTGCAGCCGTGTGGGGAATGAGAAGGAGGATGGAAGATTCTCTGTCGCTGTCTCACTTTTTCTGTCTCTGTCTCTCCCTCTCTCTGTAACTCTGACTTTCAAATAAATAATCTTTAAAAAAAATGAAGCAATGCCTTCAAAGTTCAGAAGGAACATTATTTCCAATCCAGAATTCCATCCCTACAAAACCATTAATCAAGGGAAAAGGCAGCATAAAACATTTCACTTAGTTGAAACTCTTTCTCTTTCCAAGCATGTGCTCCATCAGAAGGAAAAAGGAAACAAGAAAGGAAAATGTGGAATATAAGAAAACAGGAGGTAGAAAATAGGACTTCCCAGGATGATAGCTGTGCATGGGCCACAGAAAACCACTGGGCCTGACTGGAGCAAATCAGGAGGCTCCATCACCAGCATACATGAGTAGATGAAGGTTTTGAGAGGAGATTTATAGACAGCTACTGGATGAAACACTTATAAATAATACTGACAAACTGATCAACTGCGATAAGACAATTTCAAGGGAGAACAAAAAGCACAGAAGAGAAAAGCTGATCATGGTTCATTCTATGCCTCAGAATAGCAACCTTAGTAAAAACAAGTAAATACCGAGTATTGAATTCATCAAAATAATGTCATTCACTGAGAAGATGGGAGGGATTTAAAATTATATTGGAGGGAGAGATGTGAAAGAAAACCGAATTCTTATTTTCCCATAATAAGAAATCAAAGTAGAGAATGTCTAAAACAGAGAAATCCAGACACTAAAGAAAGTTAGATATGATTATCTTTGGGAAAGGGATGGGAAAAAGGACACTGGAATTGCATTTTCCTAAACAAACCTTGTAGAACAAGTAACTCTTTATGTGAACAAGTGATTTCAATGAAAATAAAAACTTTAAAAATTGGATGGTTGTAACATCCAGTCACTGTAAACATTATCTGTCACCTCAAGAATTTAACATTTCTTTATGGTGGAAACTGTATACAAATAGCACATGAGACCCCATAAACATGTACAATTTTATTATGTGTGTTACAAAAAGCATATTAAGTGAGTGGGTTATGAAGGGTAAAACAGTGACAGCCAGAGCAAGCAACTCTGAAAGGGCCTGGCTGTGAAGAGCAGTAGAGGCAGACAGCTAGATGAAGAAGGATGTGCATGATGAGGATTTGTTGATATAGGAGATAACAGGGCGGAGTCATGTGCTGATGGTAAAGATCCAACCAGGGGAAACGGAAAATGGGGAAGCCACAGGAGAGATGGCTGGAGTCTCCCACTCATAGGTGCTGGTTCTTGCCTCCCTTAGGCAGAGGAATGCTTCTAACAGGGATGAGGAAGAAGAAAGGGTACAAGGATGAGAAGGTTTGTGGATCTGTCATGGAAGGAGAGAGGATGGTTTCTCTTCTCTGTAAGGTGTGGTTATTGGTTGAAAGTGAAGGGGAGGCCGGTGCCGCGGCTCACTAGGCTAATCCTCCGCCTTGTGGCGCCGGCACACCGGGTTCTAGTCCCGGTCGGGGCGCCAGATTCTGTCCTGGTTGCCCCTCTTCCAGGCCAGCTCTCTGCTGTGGCCAGGGAGTGCAGTGGAGGATGGCCCAAGTGCTTGGGCCCTGCACCCCATGGGAGACCAGGATAAGTACCTGGCTCCTGCCATCGGATCAGCGTGGTGTGCTGGCTGCAGCATGCCAGCCGCGGCGGCCATTGTAGGGTGAACCAATGGCAAAGGAAGACCTTTCTCTCTGTCTCTCTCTCTGAAGGGGAAATGGGAAGAGAGAAATGAGAAAGGTGAGAGTAAGATAAACTGCTTGCTCAGAATGAGAGGACAAAGTTATTCAGGAACTGTGCAGCTAAGGAGTGCCTAGGTGAGGTGGTAATCCAGTGTCCCACATGATATCCTAAGAAATGCTCCATAACTCAGTCTTTCAAGAAAATAATTGAGAGAGGAAAACAAAATATTAACAATGATTGCCTCTGAAGGATAGAACTATTTTTTTCTATTTTGTTTTTCAGTTTTGAAAAATATGAATCATATCCATAAAGAAAATATTAATCTTTTTCAAAGGAAAAGTTTTGGTTCATGGGACTGAACAGCTCATACAGGTCATACAAAGGTACTTCAAAAAGATAATGGAAATCGGAAATAAAAGATAAATATTCTGGGGCAAACAATTTTTTGAAGTCCATGAACATGAAAGATCTTCAAAATATTCATGGAATGTATTATGAAAAAACACAAGTGTCGATAGTATGCTCCCATTTTGTAAAAATGTAACACAAGCAACTATATATGTAGTATACATCATACAGAAATTTTCTTCAAATAATGGTATTCTCTAAACCACAGCAACTGGCTCATTCTGGTACAAAGACACTAAATACTGGGGTGCCTACCTGTTAAAGCATCAGTATGGAGTCTGAGCACTTCTTTTAAACGATGGGCTTGTGATCTTTGTTCTTTGGAGTATTTTCTGCTCTTTGTTAGGAAACTGGTGCAGTTGTAGCCAGGTGGCCACATGGCCCAGCTACCTGAGCCAGGCTCTACCCCCATCCTGATGGGATTCGCTGCTCCTGCTTCCCTGCCCGCCCTCCGGCAAAGTTTTAAAAGGGCCTGTTCCTGAACACGTGCTCTCTTGGTTCTTCTCTCCTGGTTCTGCTCTCTTGGTCCTTCTCTCTTGCGTTCTCTTGGCCTCTCTTGGCTCCTCTCCTCCTCTTGTCTCTCTTCTCTCTCCTCTCTGCTCTCTCCTCTCTCTTAGCTCCTCTCCTCTCTGTTTCTCTCTTATACTCTCTTTCTCTCTTTTTCCTTCGCCGCCCCTTCACTCCGGTCTGTTGGGTGTTCCCCAATAACCCTTTCCCTTACTCCAGTGTTTGGTGTGTTTTGCAACTGCTAACATTAATATATAACATTGGTGCTGTGACTCGGAAATTTTCTTCAAATAATGGTATTCTCTAAACCACAGCAACTGGCTCATTCTGGTACAAAGGCACTAAATACAGGGGCGCCTACCTGTTCAAGCATCAATATGGAGTCTTTGAGCACTCCTTTTAAACGATGGGCTTGATCTTTGTTCTTTGGAGTATTTTCTGCTCTTGACACTACATCAGAGGCTAAACTGAAAGAAAAGTACCATCTTTAAAATCAAGAGACTAGCTTTCAATCTTTCACTTCTAGGAATTGTCAGAGCCCCATAAATTTGCAAACGAAACACAAAAGGAAACAAGCCATTTATAAGTATAGGATAGTTCACAAACCAAATCCCTGAAGCTGGAATTAAATTTTCTGCAACTGAAGCATTATTGAATAATATGATGAAAACGGGCCAGAGGAAAACTTACTTTAAAGATTTTTCTTCTTGGAGGTGGAGCCGGTAAAAGGACTGAGCAGCATGTTCTATCTTTGACAGCTTCAGAAACAGTGTCACATTCAACAAAACTAGCAACAGCAAACTAGACAGAGAAAAAAATCATACCTGGTCATTCCACACTTACCCAAACATAAAGTATTGCTAATGCAGAATATACAAGCAAAGTTTCAAAAACATACATCATTTAGATGATTCTCCTGTTAATTGTTATTTAAATCAGTCATCCCTAGTTTATTGTAAGGAATAATTGCTTTTAAATTGACATTGAGATAAACAACAGAAGGTACCTGGAGTGACATTAAAAATCCTCAAAAGAACCCCAACCACAGGCCAGAGTTGCCTCTGACTTCTCTTTGCCAGGAATCCCAGGCAGTATTGATGTGTGACTACTAGCTTAGAAATCCACCAGGTAAGCTTTCAGGATCTATTTTTGGGTGCCTTTGACCTGAGCTATTATACACCCATAATGCTGCATTTCAAAAAGGAAATGAAGATCAATATGGAGCTGATCTTAGGCAGATCATGACGTACCTTATATTGCCAGTGGAAGCCAAAAAATAAATATGTTATTCAGCAAAAATTTTTGCTCATCTTAGACAAAGAATACCAAACATACATTAATGGTGCCATATATAAAATGTTACATGCTACATGAACTTAATGTGTTGGTTTCCATAGTAGCCTTTTAAGTGAATGAATAAATACATTATTACATATACAAGTATATGGGTAGGCATTCTCTACTTATTTTTTCTGTTAAAATACTGACTTGCCCTTAAAATTAAAATATTCACCTTTACCCTTTGAGAAAAAAAATTTTAATTTAAGGTAGCAGCAAGGAAATCAGATCTCTGTCTTATAGCATTAAAATGACACACAGATCAACATTGAAATATATAAACATGGTTTTCTACAAAGCAATGCAAAAGAACACTGATAATATTTGCCATTAAAAATGGTCACAGCAAACCAATGTAAGCATTATGTGAAACCTCTTATAAAACTCTAAGGAACCACAAACATTTTCTATGTACTGAAATGTATAACTAGAAAAAACAGCTGATATAGAGCTTTATTCCATAAAATTATCACCCAGAGCATATCACAAAGTACAAAAGCCAGTTCCATTAAATCTAAGGGACTACTTTGAATCACACATAGCCATGTAGGTATTAGTACTCAAATATGACTAAGTTGGCTGAATAGTTTGATAATACACCCCGAGATTCACACTAACTGTCCCAGTATTTCTCAGCATGTCGTGTTCAGCTCACTTGCATCAGAATAACCTGAGGTGTTTGTTTTAAAGTACTGATTCCTGATGCCCACTGAAGAGCTACTGAATCAATGTCTGGCAGTAGGGTTGAGAAATCTGTATTTTAGCAAACTCCCCCAGTGCTTCTCACACACATAATATGTGTGAGAACCACTGGTCTAGTCAAATAAAGTAAAAACAGTATTATTGGGACTTTGCTAGCATATAAAAATAAATACTTCTTATCTCAATTTAAGTAACTTCCCATAGAAACCTATCATGGTAAGAAAAAAAGATTAGTTAAAAAAATAAACATTTATTGATCATGTACTTTATATTTCCTCAAATTTAACAATTCTTCTGAAAATCATACATCAAAACCTCAGACTGCAACTTATAAAAGTGCTGTTTTTATAGGTTAACGTTGGCCAAATAGTGACCATTTCTACGCGCTAATATAAAAATGTATTCAAATTCTCTTGAAAACTAGTTAAAGATAAATGAAGACACAGAAAAATAAGCACTCACAACAAACACTTACAAAACGCTCATCACCACAATCAGGGCAGTGCTGTAGTTTTCCACTTCCTTTTTCCTTCCTGCAGATCAGAAGAAAAAGGTGGTATTAGAAAGAGGATTGTGATTACAACCGATCTAAATGTACTATTCATTTGAAAAGGACTGGAAAAACAGTTTTTTAATTATTTGTAAAAACAAAGTGATTTAGGGTGACTCCCAATATCTCTTTTTAGATTTTTGCTATCTTGAGTAATAGGAAACAAATTCAAAAAGAGGAAGCCTACAGCGATCCTTCAAATTTGGCCTATATTATAAATTAACTTATTATAAAATTAAATAAGTAATTCAATACACCAAGCATGATACCTTACTAACCACTCTCTCTGAAAATAATATTTGATCTGGGTTCATGTACAGTGCTTCCCTCCTTTGAAAAACATCATCCTCACCACCATTGCCCAATCTTTTTAACTCCAAAATTAAGGAGTCATTCATCATAAGTAGTGGATAAACACAGTCATGAGTCTTACAAGAAGATTTACTAATGTAGCAGGAGGAAAATGTATGGCAGCTTTATATAGCCATGAGCAGGAGGGAATAACGGTGGAAACCAGATGTCTTCAAACCTGAGAGTAAGGATTAGAAAAGTCAAAATCTGTCTTGCAGTATGTAAGGACATACTGGCCCTGACAGTATGTAAGGACTTAGAGCAGTGAAAGGCATAAGTCAGAAGTCTGTAAATGCTGGGCATGAAATCAATGAGTGAAGCCACCCAGAATCATGGAGGGTAGTGACTGTGGTGAGGGCTGTGGTGAGCAGGAGAACACACAGTCTTAACAGGGCTGTGACTACAGAGCTCCAGCCATCGGCTGCTAGGAAGAGATTTGGGGCCAGGGCTGTCAGAGCTGAGTTTTTATATAAAAATTTCACATTTTAAGTCAGCCATGTGGGCCAAGTAAAATACTTCTACTGGGCTATGTGCCTGCCATTTTGCAACCTCTCCTTTATACTTCTTCACTGGTTGTCTTTAAGGGACACAGAGTGTGAAAAACATCAAGAAAGGAGGGGAAAATGGGAGACCTCCTGATGCGTCTTATACTGAAGAAGCACATTCTGCTTCATGTGACTAAACAGCTGCTCTCCGCTTGGTTCACCTGTGAGATCCCCTTTGGCGTCGAAGCCCACATCTCCAGCGGAACGTTGGGAAGAAAGTTTAGGAAGTGCTTCAGCTGTCCGGTTGAATGTCCTCCTTCTCCTTCGAAGGCCACTAAGTTTTCCTGGGTCTTCAATGGACTGATTCAACATAGATTCTTCCATTAACAAATCTGATTCTAAGAAGGGGGAAAAAAGGAATCTTGAAATAGTGGTGCAACTATCTCATCTATAAGATACAAGGATTTTGGTGGTAGGTTGTTTGTTTAAGCTTTCGTAATTTCTTTGACCATTTCTTAGGTTCTTATGGCTTAGATTCAAACTTCACTTGTAATGAAAAGCTTTAGAGAACACAATGACCCCATAACGAGGTTTCATTATTCTAGTAAGAATGTGTATTAATAAATGATGGGATCATGAGAGCAAATTTGCCATGTGCTATGTTAAATATTAATGTAATGGTTTCAGTTATGGAAACAACAGACTTCCCATTTATACTAGATCATTAGAAAGGTTTCCAAGATAGGTTATGGTATTTGTGACCCTCAAAGGATGGAGGAACATATGATAGTTCTAATTTTCAATGAGGGTTTTTAGGAAGGGAAGCATTAGTAAAGAAAATCTGTGAATAATCTAACAACCTCATTATTATCAGTTGTTTCAACCTTTTCTTGCACCATATTTTTTATTAGAAGCTCATTATCCAGTAACCAAACAAATTTTTGAGTTTCATTTTTTTCTGCTCCTGATGAGGAATTTAATAATGAAATAGCTAAAAGGAGAAAGACAAGGAAAATAAATAATCAACAAACTAGATGATAAAGCCTTAAATTATCCTGAGCTGAGTGACCACCAGCTCTCCTTCCAACTAAAATTAATTAATATATATACTTAGGTATATGTTAAGAAATATACAAACAGAGTAACTGTTTCATTGCCAGTACCCTCCTCCACCAACACCATTTGTGTACTTAATACCATTGCTAGATAGCCCTGTATAAGGCTGGGAGAGCTGACTCCCAATTAGGGAGATATGGGCTTGAGGACTCTTCAAATGTTAGAGAACACAGTGTTTATTCCATGTGGTTGGGTTATGCAGTCCTTGCAGTCAGCTTCATTGCCTCCTTGCAGAAGGGAGAAGAGACAGCTCTTAGCTGTGTGGATAGATTACTTAACCACCAGGTTTCAATTTCTTCTTTAGTAAAACAGAAAATAAGCATACCTACCTCCCAGGGTTGTTCTGAGTATGGAATAAGTTAATATTCATAAAGGACATATAACTGGAAGTCTGGCATATAATAAGCATTATACTTGTGGTTTCTGTTAGGCTCATGAAGTTTTGGAACTCCCCGAGTGGTAGGACATGTGGGAGATGGAATTACTTGAGTAGAGTCCTTGTAACATCATTCACCTATTCGTAGTTCCTGCTATGAATCTAAATGACTCCTCAACCTCTATTTTTATTAATAAATGTTAAGTTTACAAAAATAAATTTAAAAATCACAAACCAAGCTGTTTGAAATAGTGCTCTAATGAACTCCAGGAATTCTTCTCAATTAGAGATTTGACAAGGCCCCATGGTTGCTTTCTGTATTTCAAATCTGTGGAAACTCTAATAAGAATGAAAAATAATATTTAAGATTTAGTTATATTAATATTGTAAGTAAATATAAGATTATATTCAGTGGAAAGCCAAAAAGAATTCAAAGGCATTAAAATTATAAAAGAAAATGTGTTCATTAATAATGACTTTTTTAAAAAATTACTGCTAATAATTTACGCAATTTTTCCTTCTAAATAACTTCCATAATATTCCTTTCCTTTCTCTAGCCATGAATTTCCTTACCTAAATAGCAATAAAGTCTCAAAATAAATACTAAATTTTCTAAGTGCCTATATATAAGAATCTCTAGTGGTCATATGTTAGTTGACAGTAACTACATTAACTGAGACCAGGCCAAGCATGTGATGCACCATTGCTCTCCAATCCATCATTTCTCATTTCTCATTGCAGTGCAGTTACTGCTCACTATGGCTCCCTAAGAATTCCCAGGACCCTTGCCATTAAACAGGGTCATGTGACTAGTTCTGGCCAATTCTTACGCTCTTCCTTCCTATAGCAACTGAAATGACACTTTTTCTGGACTGTGTTTCCCCAATATATCAAAGGTTTCATCAACTAGAGCCTTGAGAGAGGAGCCCAACCGCTCTGCTGACCACTGCTGGACATGTAATCTGAGTAAGAAATAAAATTTTGTTACATAAAGCAAAGAATTCAGGATTAACGTTACCAGAGCATAACCTAACTTATCCTGATGAACACACTGGTTTACAATAGCTCACCTTAGCCTGCATCTCTGTTTTGAAGCGCGAATGATACAGTATCTGTTCAGGGTATAGAAATAATCGTGGTAGGGAACATCATGTGTCAGGACTTCTGCATCTACCATATAAAATTGTGCTTCTCGACTTTCTTTATACAATGTCTGCCAATAAAAAAATAAAAAAATGTTGCAAGTGCATGTTTAATATTTGAAGTTTCTTGGCAATGAGCACGTATATGCTACGATTCCTTCTCAGACACTACAAGACATGAGAAGTGCATGTACAAAGCTAGAAGAGCCTCCATGTTGGTTGTGCTATCTGCAAGTTGAGAAGAAGGTAATTAACAGACAGTATTTATTGCCTATCTTTCATTTCACTGTACAGTATTTTTTCTTCTTTTAGGCATGAGGAAGGGAAAGGAATCATTTAATCTCTTGTGTGTTTATTAATTTATAAAGAGTTGTAAATGTCTTTGTTAGGGGAAGAATTAAAAAATTAGCTGAACAAAACAAGGGCCCTCACTCCCAAATTCATTAAAATTTAACAAGACCAAGTATCACCAAGAAAGTGCAGGAGGAGGCCAGTAAAACAAAATACCAGTTTCCAGTCACAGGATTTAAAGTGGTTATCAGCCAAAACTGTTTCATTTTAGCCACACCTTTTCTACTCATCCTCTCAGGAAGAAAAAGAAGTTTCCGAGGTTATCAAAGACTATAAAAAGCCAAACTTTCCTCAAATGTTTTTGACCATCTTTTGAAGTTTTTGAAAGCTAAGGAGAGGGTGGACATTTAACAGAGTCAACCATATCTAAGTGCTGGGGTTCAAGTGCGGGCTCCGCTCCTCAGCTCCCACTTCCAGCTTCCTGCTAATGCACAACTTTGGAGGCCGATTGAGAACTTGGGTCCCCTGCCACCCACATGGAAAACCCAGATTGAGTTTTGGGCTGATCCAGCCCTAAAGGTTGCAGGCATTTGGGGAATAAACCAGCAAATGAATCTCTCTCTCTCTCTCTCTTGCTCAAATACAATAAATAAACAATTTTTAGCATGAAAAAAAGTAAAGAAACAACTTCTCTTTAACATTGATGCACATCTTGTACAAGAAAAACAAAGCCGGAGGCATCACAATACCACATTTCAGGACATACTACAGGGCAGTTGTAATCAAAACAGCATGGTACTGGTACAGAAACAGATGGATAGACCAATGGAACAGAATAGAAACACCAGAAATCAATCCAAACATCTACAGCCAACTTATATTTGATCAAGGATCTAAAACAAATTCCTGGAGCAAGGACAGTCTATTCAACAAATTGTGCTGAGAAAAATGGATTTCCACGTGCAGAAGCATGAAGCAAGACCCCTACTTTTCACCTTACACAAAAATCCACTCAACATGGATTAAAGATCTAAATCTATGACCCAACACCATCAAATTATTAGAGAACATTGGAGAAACCCTGCAAGATTTAGGCACAAGCAAAGACTTCTTGGAAAAGACCCCAGAGGCACAGGCAGTCAAAGCCAAAATTAACAATTGGGATTACATCAAATTGAGAAGTTTCTGTACTGTAAAAGAAACAGGAAGGTGAAGAGGCAACCAACAGAATGGGAAAAAATTTTGCAAATTATGCAACTGATAAAGGATTAATAAACAGAAACTACAAAGAGATCAAGAAACTCCACAACAACAAAACAAACAACCCACTTAAGAGATGGGCCAAGGACCTCAATAGACATTTTTCAAAAGAGGAAATTCAAACTGCCAACAGACACATGAAAAAATGTTCAGGGTCACTAGCAATCAGGGAAATGCAAATCAAAACCACAAGGAGGATTTCACCTCATCCCGGTTAGAATGGCTCACATACAGAAATCTACCAACAACAGATGCTGGAGAGGATGTGAGAAAAAAGAGACCCTAACCCACAGTTGGTGGGAATGCAAACTGGTAAAGCCACTATGGAAGTCAGTTTGGAGATTACTCAGAAACCTGAATATAACCCTACCATACAACCCAGCCATCCCACTCCTTGGAATTTACCCAAAGGAAATTAAATTGGCAAATAAAAGAGCTGTCTGCACCTCCATGTTTACTGCAGCTCAATTCACAATAGCTAAGACCTGGAATCAACCTAAATGCCCATCAACAGTAGGCTGGATAAAGAAATTATGGGACATGTACTCTATAGAATACTATACAGCAGTAAAAAAAAAAAAATCTGGTCATTTGCAACAAAATGGAGGAATCTGGAAAACATTTTGCTGAGTGAATTAAGCCAGTCCCAAAGGGACAAATATCATATGTTCTCCCTGATTGGTGACAACTAACCAAGCATCAAAAAGGAAACCTGTTGAAGTGAAATGGACACTATGAGAAACAATGACTTGATCAGCCCTTGTCCTGACTGTTGTTGAACAACTTAATACTTTAGCCCTTTTTTGTATTTTTTTTTGTTCTACTTAATACTGTTGGTTGAACTCTTTAATTAACACATAATTATTCTTAGTCATTTAAATTTAACTGAAAAGTTATCCCTGTTAAATATAAGAGTGGGAATAAGAGAGGGAGGAGATGTACAATTTGGGATATGCTCAATCGGACTTGCCCCAAATGGCAGTTATAAATGTGCCAGGGGATTCCAATTCAATCCCATCAAGGTGGCATGTACCAATGCCGTCTCACTAGTCCAAGTGATCAATTTCAGTTCATAATTGATCATAATGATAGGATTAAGAGTCAAAGGGATCACATAAACAAGACTAGTGTCTGCTAATACTAACTGATAGAAATAAAAAGGAGAGAATGATCCAACATGCGAAGCGGGATACACAGTGGACTCATAGAATGGCAGATGTCCTAAATAGCACTCTGGCCTCAGAATCAGCCCTTAAGGCATTTGGATCTGGCTAAAAAGCCCATGAGAGCATTTCAGGCATGGAAAGCCAAGACACTCTGGCAAAAACAAAACAAAACAAAAATAACCTAAATGAAAAATCTCTGTGAGTGAGATCCCAGTAGAAAAAACAGGCCATCAAAGATGGAGGTACCTTTCTCTGAGGGGAGGAAAGAACTTCCACTTTGACTATGACCTTGTTTAAATAAGATCAGAGTTGGTGAACTCAAAAGGATTTTATAGCCTTGGCAACTCATGACAAGAGCATCAGGTGATTACTGACGCCATAAACAAGAGTGTCAATTGTTAAGTCAACAACAGGAGTCACTGTGCACTTACTCCCCATGTAGGATCTCTGTCCTTAATGTGTTGTACTATGTGAATTAACGGTATAACTAGTACTCAAACAGTCTTTACACTTTGTGTTTCTGTGTGGGTGCAAACTGTTGAAATCTTTATTAATATATACTCAATTGATCTTCTGAATATAAAGATATTTGAAAATGAATCTTAATGTGAATGGGATGGGAGAGGGAGCGGGAGATGGGAGGGTTGCAGGTGGGAGAGAGGTTATGGGGGGAATAAACCACTGTAATCCAAAAGCTGTACTTTGGAAATTGATATTTATTAAATAAAGGTTTAAAAAAAGAAATTAAAAAAACACTGATGCACAAATCTATAAGAGCACAACTGGTTCAGATGTCATTTGCAGAACAGCTACACTGCAAAGAGGAGCCGCATTACATAGCTTACATTTAATTTTGAAAACTCAGTCCCTTCCCCATGTGTCACAGCAGCCACCTAGTTCTTTGGTTCTAACCTGTGACATGATTCTGTAAATCATAGTTTTATAATGTTTCTCTTTTTAAAAAATTTTATTATGAAAAACTGAATACACAAAAGGGTATTATGAAGTATAATGAACTCTCATGACCTCATCAGCCAACTCCAACATTAACTCAGGCCCAATCCTGTTTCATCTGTACCCCAGCCCCACCTTCCACACTCCACCACTATCATCTGTGTGGCTACGTTACTTTTAAAGGAAACCCAGATATTACTGCAATTTTACGCATAAATACTTTGATAAATGTTTATAAATTCTTAACTACATTTCTTTAAAAATTTTTATTTTCCTTAAAATATAGCTAAAAGACCATTATTGTACATGAGAAATTAACAATTTTTTAAATCTCATAAATATCTTTTAAACTGGTGCTGTGTTTGTATTAAAATTGAATTGGTATGGTTTATAATGCCTCTTAAGTCTCTTAAGACACAACCACTTCTGCTCCTTTTGTTATCCTGCCACTTATTTGTTGAACCTGGTTGTAAATTGGTGACTATGACAGGCATCTTCTCTCCCCACATGAAGGATTGTTTCAGAATATCAGAAGAGCAGACAGACTTACCTGCTTTTCAGTGGCAGCAGTGCATTTTCCAGTAAGAGGATTATTAAGGACAATAGTATAGGTCATGGTTCTCAGTTGGTCACCTCCAGGCTCTACTGTCCAAGGAGTAGATACTACATCTAATCACAGCAAACAGAAACTAGTTAGTTCTAGAAATTTGAAGGTTCTGACTTCAAATGGATTCAAAGATGTATCTTTAGAACTACTTTGTTTTTGACAGAGTAACACATAGATTTCCCATCTGCTGGTGTACCAGATACGAGCCAAGCCAAAGCCAAGTGCCAGGAACTCCATCCAGGCATCCCCCATGGGTGGCAGGAACCCATGTACTAGGGCCATCATCTGCTGTCTCCAGATGCATCAGCAGGAAGCTGGATTAGAAGCAGAGGTAATGGGGCCAGTGCTGTGGCATAGCGGGCGAAGCCACCACCTGCAGTGCCGGCACCTCATGTGGGTGCCAGTTCAAGTCTTGGCTGCTCCACTTCTGATTCAACTCTCTGCTATGGCCTAGGAAAGCAGTATAGGATGGCCCAGGTCCTTGGGCCCCTGCACCCATGCAGAAGACCTAGAAGAGGCTCCTGGCTCCTGGCTTCAGATCAGCATAGCTCTGGCCATTGTAGTCATCTGGGGAATGAACCAATGGATGGAAGACCTCTCTCTCTCTCTTTGCCTCTCTCTGTCTCTCTGTAGCTCTGCCTTTCAAAATAAATAAATCTTTAAAAAAAATAAGAAGACACAGAGGTGGGACTCCCTAGGCACTCAGATATGGGATGCAGGCTAGCCAAGCAGCAACTTAATCCACTGCCACCTCCCCAGACTTTTATTTCTGACTAGTCCTAAACTCCTTATAACTGTGTTTGGTAAGTTTAACATTAAAAGAGAGTTTAAACATTAGTTACTCTCCTTATACAATGGTTCTTCATTTGTGAAAAATTGGAATTAGAAGATAAGGATTTGTCTGGGTACAAAAAATATAGGAAACCACACATAGTTTTTTCATAATATTCATTTCCATGAACTTTCTCATATGTGACATGTTATCCATCTCTGATCCATTTATTTCTAAATTATTTTCTATTTATACACTTTTTCTTTTTTTGAATATAAAATTAAAAGTTGGTTCATCTATAGGCTTCTTTTTTTAAAGATCCTAATACCTATGAAGAGAAACAGTGGTCCTGGCCTCATCTGAGACAGAACACTTCAACATTCCCACCACTGAGTGGAAAACTTTGAAGGAGGGGCTAGCGCTGTGGCGTAGCTAGTAGGACCGCCACCTGCAGTGTCAGCATCCATGTGGGCGCTGGTTCAAGTCCCAGCTGCTCCACTTCCTATGCAGCTCTCTGCTGTGGCCTGGGAAAGCAGTGGAAGATGGCCCAGGCCCTTGGGCCTCTGCAGCCATGTGGGAGACCCAGAAGAAGATCCTGGCTCCTGGCTTTGGATCGGCGCAGCTCCAGCCATTGCGGCCAGTTTGGAAGTGAACCAGCGGATGGAAGACCCCCCTCTCTCTCTGCCTCTCCTTTTCTCTCTGTGTAACTCTTTCAAGTAAAATAAATAAATCTTTAAGAAAAAAACTTTGAAGGATATTTGTCTTTATCCAACAATATGACCCTGGTACCAACTTGTAGAGAAATCATCTAATTAGTGGCTTGCCTGCTAAAATCTTTAATCAAGGTAGGGCAATGGAATATAAGCTATTATATAATCTTTTATATTAAGAAGGATATAGAATCCTTTCTATTTAAGGCAAGATATTAGCAGAAATCCTTTTATTACTTAGGGAAAACACAGTGAGTGAAAACACCCTTCGAACAGTGATTATAGCTATAGAACACAGCACTATACAGTGAAGGTCATTTCATGCCGCCCCAAAACTAGGGAAGTAGAGATAAGAGCATTATAAACTCTATTCAAAGACCTGAAGAAATAACTGAAGGAGAGCACAAATGGATTTAGGCAATTTCTCAGTATGTTTGGTTTCTATTCATCAACATCCTAAAGCATAAAAGCCTTCACCTACCCCATTATCCATTGTCAAAGGAATACAGCAAGGCTTTATGATATAACCAATTTTACTCAACTTCTTTTATAAAACTAAGCCTAGGAATTTAATGAGGGATGCTGAAGCTGCCTGTTGAGTATCTGGCAAAACCTTACAACTAAGTTTAAAAGGTACCATCACAAACCTAGGATGTGCTGTAAAAACGATTTACTTAGGTGAACATGAAAGAAGACATACAATTAATTTTAAATATGTTTCCATATATTATTAAAATATTTTCCTGAAGATTACTTTGGTCAAAATCAGTCTGTTTCAGGAAAATGATACTAATAATAGACTGTTAAACAGAATTTAAACATATCATTGGATTTTGCTGTTAAAAATATAATGCTCAACAACAAGAGAAAAGTATTTCTCCATTTTGTATTTTCAGCAATGTCACCAACAAGGCCTACTGAATATTATGTACTAGAACATCATCTTGGAATAGTCAGTCTTCTAATACCTCAGTAAAGCTCATCATAATATAAAACATCTGGCATGAAAAAAAAATGGCAGTAGTACACAAAAGGACATGTGAGCCATTTTGATATATTTAGCTAAAATAATAAATAGAAGGACTTGTAAAACTGATACTTTAAAAACACTTCAATGTAATAAGTTTTTAAATTGGCAAATCTTCAAATCCATTGAGTTAACCGTTATTAAAAAAAAAAAAACAGAATATAAGTGTTGCCAAGGGTGTGGAGACATTGAAAAATTTTTGCATTGTTGAAGGGAATGTAAAGCGGTGCAGTCACAATGGAAAGCAGTATGGCCCTCTCTTCAAAAAATAAGCATAGAATGGTCACTTAATGTAGCAATTCCACTTTTAGGTATTCACTCCTAAGAACTGAAACAAGGATTCAGGGGCTGGCACTGTGGGGTAGCGGGTAAAGCCACTGCCTGCAGTTCCGGTATCCCATATGGGCACCGGTTAGAGTCCCAGCTGCTCCACTTCTGATCCAGCTCTTTGCTGTGGCCTGGGAAAGCAGAAGAAGACAGCCCAAGTCCTCGGGTCCCTGTATCCGCGTAGGAGACCCGTAAGAAGCTCCTGGCTTCAGATCGGTTCAGCTCTGCCGTTGCTGCCATTTGGAGAGTGAACCAGCAAATGGAAAACCTTTCTCTCTTTTTTTCTCTCTCTCTGCCTTTGTCTCTCTATAACTTTGCCTTTCAAATAAATAAAACTTAAAAAAAAGCAAAGATTCAAACAGATATTGTACATTAATGTTCAGAGAAGCATTTGTTACAATATCTAAATGATGCAAATACCCTAAAACATCATTAACAGACAAATTGGATAAACGAAACATGGTATCTGCGTACAATGGAATATTAGTCAGCCTAAATGAAATTCTGACACATGCTACAACATGGATGAACCTTGAATGCATTATACTAACTATAATAAGCCAGTCACAATAGGACCAATATTTAAGATTCCTCATACATGAGATATCCAGGATACCTCAAATTTATACAAACAGAAAATAAAATGGCAGTCATCAGAAATTGGGGGGAGGGGAAAATAGCAACCTATTGCTTAAGATATACAGACTTTCAGCTTAGGAAGATGAACAAGGTATGGAGATGCATGGTGATGATGATTGCATAAAATATGAATTTATTTAATGTTACAAAACCGTACATTTACAAATGGTAAGTTGTGTTATGTATATTTTACCATAATTTAAAAATCAGTGAATCTAGGAAAAGGTATGAATATTGTTAAACTATTCATGCAACTTTTCTGAAAGTTTGCTTTTTTCCAAATGAAAAAGTTGAGCAGAAAGACTTAAAACTGACCTTTCTTTTTTTTTTTTTTTTATTTTTTTGACAGGCAGAGTTAGACAGTGAGAGAGAGACAGTTATAGACAGTGAGAGACAAAAGTCTTCCTTTCATTGGTTCACTCCCCTAATGGCCGCCACAGCCGGCGCAGCACGCCAATCCGAAGCCAGGAGCCAGGTGCTTCCTCCTGGTCTCCCATGCGGGTGCAGGGCCCGAGCACTTGGGCATCCTCCACTGCCTTCCCGGGCCACAGCAGAGAGCTGGCCTGGAAGAGGAGCAACCGGGACTAGTACCTGGCGCCCTGACCAGGACTAGAACCCGGGGTGCTGGCCTGCAGGTGGAGGATTAGCCTAGTGAGCAGTGGAGCCAGCCAAAACTGACCTTTCAATTACAAGTAGTGTCATACAGTTATAAACAAAAGATTAAAGAGAATATTGATTTAAATTTACCTAATGAAGAAAAAAAAATTAGACCCAGTAGTAGTCATTTCAATCCTGGAATTAAATCCAAACATAACTGTTCAAACAAAAACATTTAAAACAAAGTTCTTAATATTTTTTAAAAGAAGCCCCTGAAACTCATCCTCTAAAAATATAACTTTGATTACCAGGTAATAAGTTCAGAGGATAACACTGTGATTTGAAATCATAACAAGATTCTTTTGGAGGGCAAAGCTTCTTACTAATTATAGGTATAACTAGCAAGGAGCCCATTTAGATTTGAAAGTAACCAGAATCCTTCGCTTCCAAAAGTCATTTATAACAGCAAATATAGTCACCCATATTGAAGCTTGATGTGATAGCAGACGACAAGTGTAGTTGTGTTTCTTTTTTTTGTTGTTGTTATTTTTGACAGGCAGAGTGGACAGTGAGAGAGAGAGAAACAGAGAGAAAGGTCTTCCTTTTGCCATTGGTTCACCCTCCAATGGCCACCGCGGCCAGCGCACTATGGCCAGCGTGCAGCGGCCGGCGCATCACGCTGATCCGAAGCCAGGAGCCAGGTGCTTCTCCTGGTCTCCCATGGGGTGCAGGGCCCAAGCACTTGGGCCATCCTCCACTGCACTCCCTGGCCACAGCAGAGAGCTGGCCTGGAAGAGGGGCAACCAGGACAGAATCCGGCGCCCTGACCGGGACTAGAACCCGGTGTGTCGGCGCCGCAGATGGAGGATTAGCCTAGTGAGCCACGGCGCCGGCCATAGTTGTGTTTCAAAAGACAAATTTCATTGAGTACCAGCACAGAGTAAGATGTTCTTCATGGGCCTTGGACACCCACATCCCACAGCAGGGTGCCTGGGTTTGAGTCCCAGCTCTGCTTCGTTTCAGCTTCCTTTCAGTGTGCACCTTGGGAAGCAACAGGCGATGCCCCAAGTTGTTGGGTCTCTGCCACCCACATGGAAGACTGGATTGACTGTCCAGCTCCCAGCGCTGGCCTGGCCCAGCCTCAGCTGTTGCTGGCATTTGGGGAGTGGACCATTAGATGAGAGATCTCTGTCTGTCTCTGTCTCTGTTTCTCTGCCTAGCAAATACATTTAAAATTCAAAAAAAAGAAAGAAAGGAAATTATATACCCAACAGTTCTCCAGGTAGAAAAGGAAAATAAGAAAATATAAAATAAATTCAGATAAGATAATAACAAGTTAAATAGAGCAAAAGAGAAATAAATGATTTTTTAAAATCATGCAACTCAATATAATCACAAGACTCAATAGCTATCAGTTAGAAATCTCTTTGTTACTCTATTATAGATAATAGGAAAACATGATTTTTGCATCTAGAATCCACATCAATTTTATCATCCATAATTACATTTATACAAAAGTTTCAAATAAATAATAATATCAAGTGTTTATTAAAACCCCCTGATGATAAACTGTATTTAATTGACTGCAGAAGCACTTTTTCTTTGACTATGTCAACTGACTCACCTTACATGAATCTGCCACTGCTCTGTTCTAATTTCATAGAGTAAGCTAAACCATTGCTCCCCGAATCAATAAACTATCTGGCAACACTGAGGACAGATTCAGTTTCAAACTAACCAGAAGCTTATTTAAGATGTTTACCAAGAGAGAACTTTTAATACATTATCAATGAAATTCTTTTATGAATTTAAGTAATTTCCTAAATGCAACCTTCTTTTATACTTTCTTTGAATCATATCACAGATACTGTAATCTTGAGCATATAACACCATTTTTTAAAAATTTATTTATTTATTTGAAAGGCAGAGTTATAGACAGAGAGAGAAAGAGAGAGAGAGAGAGAGAGAATCTTCCATCTACTGGGTCATTCCCAAAATGGCCACAATGACCAGGGCTGGGCAAGGCTGAAGATGCCAGGAGCCTGGAGCTCCATCAGGTTTCCATGTGGGTGGCAGGGGTCTAAGCACTTCTGCTGCTTTCCCAGGCACATTAGCAGGTAGCTGGATTAGAGGCAGAGCAGCTAGGACTTAAACTAGTGCTCATATGGGATGCTGGAGCCACAATGCCAGCCCCAAGGTCCACAATTTTCACAAGGGAAACACACATTTGATCACACTTAGATCAAGACAGACCACCCCCACCCCAAAAGCTTCCTCCTAGACTTTACCCACCTAACTCTCCACAATGGTAAGTAACTACTATTATATTGACTTTATTCTCATAAATTGCCTGTTTTAACTTTATAAAAAGAAATTATAGGGGCCAGCATTGTGGCACAGTGGGTTAGGCCACCACTTGCAACACTGGCATCCCATATAGGAGCCATGGTTCAAGTCCCAGCTGCTCTACTTCCAATCCAGCTCCCTGCTAATGCACCTGGGAAAGCAGCTGAATATGGCCAAAGTGCTTGATTCCCTGCCACCCACATGGGAGACCCAGATGGAGTTTGTCCTGGCCCCTGGCTTCAACAGCCTCAGGCACTGTGGATATTTGGGGAACTAACAGATGGAAAAATCTCTGTTTCTCCCTGACACTCTGCTTTGTAAATAAATAAATAAATATTTTAAAAAATTATATAGTATGTATTCTTTTGTTAAGATTTTTTTCCCTGAAAGCAGAGTTATAGAGAGAGAGTCAGAGAGAGGTCCTCTATCCATATGTTCACTCCCCAAATGGCGGCAATGGTCGGAGCTGGCCCGGTCCGAAGGCAGGAACCAGTTGCTTCCTCCTAGTCTCCCACATGGGTGGCAGGGGTCTAAACACTTGGGCCATCCTCCATTTGTATCTGGATTCTTTTGCTTAACATTGTGCCTGTGAGATTTGCTCATATTATTATAAGTAGCAGTAGTTTATTTTTTAGTTGCCATACCATTCTTTTGTGGGAACATACACAATTTGTTTATCCATTCTATTATTGATGGATATTTGGACTGTTTTGAATTTGGAGCCCTGATAGGAGTGAAATTACTGGAGCACAGCGAATTCATAGCTTTGGAAGATACTGTCATACCATTTGGCAAAGTGATTGTTCCAGCATATACTATACCAGCATCTAATTGTTCTACAATGAGACACTAAAATTCAATCTAACTGAACTGTTATATTAATAAATAATGTAAATAGGTGTAGTTTTAGTTCTCAAAGGATCAGAACTTAATTGAAGATAGCTCTGCCTAATTAAATAATTAAACTGTTAACATGTGAATTCAACCAGACATTTAAATATCAGTTTATATGTCATCAAAAGAAATCAAAACATGTCAAATTTTTCCTCATAACAAATCAGTTTATATAAGCTCAACCCTCTAAGAATCAGAAAATTCTCCCAAATGTATCATTATGTAAGACACAAGGACCAACCTATTATATTTCTGGAATTGGTAAATCTCTGCATAAAGCGTGAACTGGTGAAGAGCAATTCAAACATTCTCTCAGCACTGATATGAAAAACACGGTTGATATAAAGTCTTCCATGAAGATCTTTCTCAGGAATATTTTCTAGAAAAAACAGAAACACAGAAAAGAAATCAAAGAAAGGTAATTTCAAGTTTTGGGGATGTTCTTGTTTTGTTTTTGGCATAAAATCATTTTTAAATGAATTACAATGGTCAGCATTTCCAAGATACTATTAAAACTCCAATTGGGATTAAAAACATATGTATCATATATAATTGTGCATATATAAATAATGGTACATTATGTACCATATATAACATATAGTTAACGATGTATCTCCCATATGTAGAAATATTTAACTTGAATGAGCTCAAGCTCCCTCAAAAGAGTATTTCAAATCATTGACAAGAACAATAATTGAGACAAATATGATGGTATCTATCACAACAGTTAGCAGATACAGTTAGCAGTTAGCATGCACTTACTATCAGTAACTCCTAAGTTATCAAGGGCTTTGAACCTGCCACACACTCTCACTTGTCAGCCTGAAGAATATTTCAACTGGTCTTAATGTAGGCTCCCCTAAGACAAGGGTCAATATATTCACAACATATTCTCAATACCATGTATTGAAAGAACTGAAAAAAAAATCTTCTGAAAAGAATTCTTCAAAGCTAAATAATTCCTAATACAATATTCTATTTTTTTCTGGGAACTTGATAATGATTTTGAAAACTAGTGCTTGGCAAATGAAGTAGTATCTATTCATTTCTTCACATTCCCTATATGAGTAGCTCATACTTGGGGGTAGGCTTTTGGCAAGTTGGGATACCATATCCCATATCGAGTGCCTGGATTCAAGTCCTGGTTCCACTTCTGGGCGCAACTTCCTGCTAATGTGCACCCTGAGAGGCAGCAGATGATGGCTCACATAGTTGGGTTCCTGCCACCCACGTGGGAGACCTAGAAAGAGTTCCAAGTTCCTGGCTTCAGCCTGGCCCAGCCTTGGAAATTGCAGGCATTTGGGGAATGACCTAGTGGACATAATGGATAGAAGATCTTTCTATCTGTGTGCTTCTCTCTGTGTGTCCTTTTGCCTTTCAAATACAATGAAAGTAAATAAAGATATTTTTAAAAATAAAATAACCCATAATTACATAGTTACTACTATACAAATATCAGACATTACCCTAAGCATTTTACAAGTTTTTACTCCTCCTCACTGCAATAGTGGTATTTATCATTGTCACCATCTCCATGGTACAGACGAAGAAACTGAGGCACAGAGAGAATTGCCAAGGCACCATGGCTAGTGAGTGACCGATCTGGAACCTGAACCCACTTCAGCTCTGGAGCACACAGTCTTGCCCTACAGTTTATACCATCAGGAGTTTGACTCAGAAAAATCAAAAGAAGAGAGGGAGAGAAAGAAAAGAAAGGGAGAGAGAGAGAGAGAAGCAGGAATAGGTGCTTGGTATAATAAAAGCAGCAAAAGCAATCCAATATAAAACTGTAATGATTTCAGGACCATGATTATTATTATTTCAAGGATTATAACTCATCGATACAAATTGAGAACTGTGACAAAAGCTCCCCATATTTTTTTAAAAAAAGATTTATTTATTTATTGGAAAGGCAGAGTTACAGAGAGGCAGAGAGAGAGAGAGAGAGAGAGAGGTCTTCCATCTACTGGTTCATTCCCCAGATGGCTGCAATGGCCAGAGCTGCACCAATTTGAAGCCAGGAGCCAGGAGCTTCTTCCAGGTCTCCCATATTGGTACAAGGCCCCAAGGACTTGGGCCATCTTCTACTGCTTTCCGAGGCCACAGCAGAGAGCTGGGTCAGAAGTGGAGCAGCATGGACTCTATCTGGTGCCCATATGAGATGCCAGCACTGCAGGCAGCGGCTTTATATCACAGCGCCAGCCCTGGTGCTTGGCTATTTTTAAATGAATCAATTACTTCTGAAAAAATCTTAGGATTTACTTTTATATATAAGAGTTTGAACTTGCAACCTTTTAAAAAACTTTTTATGTTGGAATAATTTGAGATTTACAATTAATTAAACTAGGCTGTGTTCTTTTTTAATTTTCCCAGTAATGTCCTTTTTCTGTACATGGATCCAATTCAAACTCCATCTGCTGGTTTACTTTGGGCCATCTTCTGCTGCCTTCCCGGGCACATTATCAGAGAGCTGGATCAGGAATGGAGCATCTGGGACATGAACCGGCACCCATATGAAATGCCAGTGTTGCAGGCAGCAGCTTAACCAACTATCCCAGAGTGCTGGCCCCTTTCCTTGTCTCTTTATGACCTTGACACTTGAAGAATATTGGTCAGGTATTTTATAGAATCTCCCTCAATTTGAGACATCATCTGATGTTCCTTGATGATTAGACGAGGGTTATGGATTTTAGAAAAGAATATGATAAAGGTGAAGTGCCCTTATAATCAAACTCAGGTAGTACAGGATACCTCAATATGACTGATGATGATTTTAAACTTGATCAGTTGCATAAGCAGACCTTTCCATTATAAAGTTACTATTTTCTCCTTTCCATATTCTATTCATTGGCAATGAGTCACTAAGCACAACCTATACCCAAAGGAAAGAGAATTAAGCTCCACTACCCAAAAGAGAAGGTACATACACAGTGAGTATATTATTTGGAAATACATAGGGAAGATTTGTGCTTTCTTCTCCCCCTCCCCTACAATATATGCATTTATTCAGTCACTTATTTTTGTCAGTATGGATTCTTGAAAGGTTATTTTATTCTTAATGTTATTATCCAATAATACTATCACTAATTATTTTGTTGCTCAAATTACTTATTTTGGCCATGAGAAGCTCTGTCAGGCTGACTCCTGTGCTCATTTTTTAAAATTTATTTGGGAAGCAGGGGAACAGACAGATAACAAAAAGACAGAGAGCTCCCATCCTCCGGTTCACTCCCTCACATGCCCACAGTGGCCAGAACCATTCCAAGCCAAATCCGGGAACTCAATCCGGATCTTCCATATAGGCGGCAGGAAACCAGTGACTTGCGCCATCACTCAGGGTTTGCACTGACAGGAAGCTGGAGTCAGGAGCCAAAGCAAGGACTCTGATGGGGGATGCTGGCTTCTCAGCCTCAAGACCAAATGCCTGCCCGCCTGTGCTCTTTTGCCAGACCTCCTTCCTTACTCTCTGTTGCCAAACATGCCTCTGGATCAGCTCATACCTTCCCTACCTCAGCCTGAGAACTAGCCATTTCTCTAAGGAGTCCTGGAACTGTAATTTTCAGAAGCAAGCTTTTTGCTTATATTTAAAAGGAAACAAATTTTACTCATATACCTATTTTAATATAATATGTTCACGTTTTTTAAACATTAGTATGTAAAATGTGTGGAATTACAACTGGTAAAATAGAATTTGTGGTCTCCCAACCAGAAGCCAACAATATATCTTTTGAATGCATATTTGTTCAAGGAAATACATGCATGAAATAAACTATTTTCCCTGGGAGTGACGCATTTATGAAATTCCTGATACTTTGTCCTATCCAAACAACATCATCAATTGCACTGCTATAGCATAGTAAGTTAGCAAGTAATGCTTTTAAAACGGGGAAAGGGCTGAGTAGCAGGTTAGTACTTCCAATAAAGGAGAAATACTATTTCAAACATATCAGTTTGAAAGTGGCCAGTGGTAATGGTGTAGAGCGAGACACATAAATATAGGACAAGTACCTAGACAGGAATGAAGCTGGAAACATACGCTGGCAATGTTTAAGGGTAAGTAAAACTATATGTAAGAAAAAGCAGTTGATTTGCAGCTTGGCTTAGCAATCAGGGGCACACAATTAGATCTTCCATTCTCTAACAACTGGTGACCTACTGTCTTCTTGACTCAAGGCATTCTTTACACTGGAAAAACAGCTGAATTGGAGTGTGCTGTTCAGAGGTCCTACTCGGGTGACTGTGCAGTCACATGGCAGCCTCCCTGACATGCTAGCCCATTTCATGACATTTTTCTCTCACCTTCTCCAGAGTGTGCTTCTCCTCACCTTTATTAACTAACAAGCATTGCCTGATGTTCCAACTCCTGTCACTCATTGTATGGCTATGCCTCTCATTCATCTTGTTCCATCAGCTGCAGTTTATGGAGACCAATTTTCCTGTTCTTATGTGCCCTTCCCACATAAGTCAGCTTCCATTCTTTTTTTTTTTTTTTTTTTTTTTTTTGACAGGCAGAGTGGACAGTGAGAGAGAGAGACAGAGAGAGAAAGGTCTTCCTTTGCCGTTGGTTCACCCTCCAATGGCCGCCGCTGCAGCCGGCGCACCGCGCTGATCCTGGCAGGAGCCAGGAGCCAGGTGCTTTTCCTGGTCTCCCATGGGGTGCAGGGCCCAAGCACCTGGGCCATCCTCCACTGCACTCCCTGGCCATAGCAGAGAGCTGGCCTGGAAGAGGGGCAACCGGGACAGAATCCGGCGCCCCAACCGGGACTAGAACACGGTGTGCCGGCGCCGCAAGGTGGAGGATTAGCCTATTGAGCCACGGCGCCGGCTTCAGCTTCCATTCTTAACATAAATGACTTTAGTAGGAAACCCTGTCTTACCAACTTCTGCACCATAACACAAGTGTCTCTGCTCTCAGCCAGTTTGTCAGCTTCCACTCATGGCTCTACCTCCTGCAACAGGTTTCACAGGACTGCCCATGACATCATGGAACAGGGAAGATGGAAGTGGTAGGTTCTATCAGTGGGAGAAATGTTATAGCCTCAAAAATAAAGCCATCATTTTCTTGTGGATATGGATACATTGTGCGAACTCATTGCTATTAGCCAGCAGACTCCAGCTTCTTCTTAGATGTTCTGGACTCCTTCCCTAACCTGGCCCAAGTCTGTCAGCTTTCTCTGGCTGAGGAAAGTCCATCAGCAATGAACTTTTCAATAAATAAATAAATTCTGTAGCTTATTTTGAGAATTACTGTAGATCAAAGTTTTGAGTTAGGATGAGTAAAAGCAGTAAAATACAAGGCTTAGCATTTTGTTCAGCGGCACCCTTTTCTGGAAAAGGACACCCTTCAATCTTGGTAGATTCTGAACCACCTATTACCAA